CACACATGCATCTCCCCCTCTCTCCCTCTTTCTCTCTCTCCTTCTGTGTGCAGATGCACTCCTACCTGAAGAGCTATGCGGCCCACTGGGGCATCTTGCCGAAGGTGCAGCTCAACACCCAAGTGCGCAAGATCGTCCCCGACGACGAGCAGGGCAACTCGTACACCGTGACGGTCGAGAAGGAGGGCGGCGAGCCGCAGAAGCACACCTACAAGGGGGTGTACGTCTGCACGGGGCACCACAGGAACAGACGGTGGCCCAAGCTCAACGGTAAGTGAGACGAGACATGACATGTGCACGGGTGGTCCTCATTCACAAAGGAGACTCTCTCTCTGTCCAAACCCCCTCTGTGTGTGAAGGCACCTTCACCGGGGAGTTGATCCACTCGAAGGATTACAAGTCGCCCGAGCAGCTCAAAGGGAAGCGCGTCCTCGTTCTCGGCGCAGGTACATACGCACACACACACACACACACACACACATACAGAAATCTGTGTGAGTCTCTATATGCCTGTGCGTATGCGTCCAGGCAACAGTGCGTGTGACGTCAACGCCGATGCGGCCCAGGCGGCTGAAGAGGCACACGCGTCGCTTCGCCGAGGCCACTGGTTCATGCCACGTGTCGTCGGCGGCAAGTCAGCACACCACACCCACACACACCTCCCGCCACACAATGCCCCCAACACACACACACCTCTCCCTCTCTCTGTGTGTGCAGGCCGGTAATAGAGTACAATCCGCCGTGGTGGCCCCACTGGCTGACCAAGTTCATGGTCAAGCGGGCGTTGAGGGTGTGTGTGGGCGACTACCGGCTGTATGGGCTGCCGGTGCCCGACCACGACATCTATGAGCTGCACCCCACCATCAACTCGAGCTTCCTGCACTACTTGAAGCTCGGCAAGATCAAACCGCACCCGGGCATTCAGTCTGTCGATGGTGGGTGGGTGGGTGTGGTCGTGTGTGTTTGTGTGGGTGGGTGGCCCGGGTGAATATGGGTGCGTTTTGGGTGTTCTGTGTGTGTGTGTGTGCCAGGGAAGGAAGTGACCTTCGTGGATGGGCAGACCATCACTGTCGACCTGATCGTCTGTGCTACCGGTAAGTGACATCCATGTGTGTGAATGATGTCTCTCTCTCTCTCTCTTCTGTCTGTCTCTCAGGTTACCACAACAACTTCCCCATGTGTGAGCCCACCCTCACCTACACCGAGCAGGGCACGCCCAACGTCATCGAGGGGGCGGTGGTGCCCGGCAAGAAGAACTACTTCGTCTTCGGCACACAACAGCCCAGATACGGCGCCGGACCGCTCGTCACACAAGGCGCGGAACTCATGGCTGGTAAGACCACACACACACACACACGAAAACAATGCTCAAGAAGGTGTTTATGCATTGGTTTGTCTCTTCGCCACTGTCTCTTGATCACTGTAATCAAACAGAGTTTGTGCGGGTGCAGCCGCAGTGCAAGCGGCCCGTCGGGGATATCCTGCTGAAGCTCGGCGCCGTCGAAATGGCTCACACGTAAGGGACGGACATCAATGACACCACACACACACACACACACATGCGCTCACATGGATTTTCCACATATATATGGGGTGGTTGTGTGTGTGGTCGTGTTGTGTGCAGGCCCAACAAGTTGACTCCCGATTTGCTGCTGGACCCCTACCCGTATTACCGCAAGCTGGCCATCGGCACCGCCATTATGCCCATGGTGCCGCGCTTCGAGCGCATCATGGAGACACTCAGGCTCATCTAGTCGAGCAATAATTGGGGCCACCCATCCGGATGGATGGGTAGCTGCAACGCTGTGTGGCCGCACACACACGTGTGCGGGGCCGGCGAATTTTCCGACGTGCGCGTCTGTTCCTGCAGCGCGCGAGGGTAGCTAGGTCCTTTTTGCGTGTGTGTTCATTGTCTTCTGTTGGGAGCAGTCTGCCTATTGCTAGTCTACCTATTTATCTACGCTGGCTAGGCTTGCATCACGTCACGTGGGTGGGCAGTGAGGGGGTGGATACCATGGCTGGCTGGCCACACAGCCGACACGCTTGTGTAGCCAATGGACGGCAAGACCGATCCGATCCGCACTCATGATGTGTTGTACGCGTGTTGTGCATGGCAGTGAGTTGAGTTGCGGGCGGGCTTTTTGAAAGGTGCGTGTTTGTTTGTATGTATGATGGATGGATGGATGGATGGATCTGTCGATGTGTCTCGCTTATCCGCTGTGCAGATCTGCACTGCATACAGCGCATATGGCTGGCTGTCTTTTTGGTGTGGATGTTTGTGTACGTACGTGTAGCCCCGGGCTGAGATCGACGTGTGCTTATGTCGATCTCTTCCCTTTGGGGGCGAGGATTGTACTTGAATAATGCGGAGCAAGATGGCACAAGAGGAATGAGAGAATGACGCTGAAACCCCCGCTGTCGAGATTCGCGATTGCGAGCTTAGAATGGCCGCCGATCTCCAACGGCTGCGACGTTTTCCCTCCGTTCTCTCCCGACCGTTTCCCTCCATCGTCTCCGTCTTATTCCGTTTTCCCACCTTTCGCGAGCCCTGTGCGTTGGAGATCTGGCCCTGGCCTGCCAAGATGGTGACGGTAAGTCCTCCAGACCTGCTCTGGGGGTCGACACATCGGTGGGTGGGACGTCTGTGTGCAGGATTACATGTGGATCGTCGTTGCGGGTGAAAGCGCCTCCCCCTCCCCCTCTCTCTTTCTCCTCCGTGTGTGCTCGTGTGTCCACTCGGGTGTGTGTGGTGCCTGTTGTGCTGCGTGTGCCATGCAGGGTGGATCGCCTGCTTCGTCATGGCATTCGGTGCGTGGAAGACACGTGCACCGAGAGAGAGGGGGTGGGGGGAGAAAAGGCATCGATCTGCAGACAGCGAGGCTCAGCGACACAACGCCCCGTCTATCGCCCCCTCTGTGTGTCTCTGTCTCTGTGCGCTGCATGCAGGTATCGGTGCCAACGATGTGGCCAACCAATTCGCTTCAAGCATTGGATCGAAGGCTGTCTCGCTCAAGACGGCCATCATCCTCTCGGCCATCCTCGAGTTCGTCGGAGCGGCGTTCCTCGGTGGACAAGTTGCCGACACCGTCCGCAAGAGGATCGTCGGTACGCTGACACACACACACACACACACACACACACAGGCAGGCAGACAGGCAGACAGGCAGACAGGCAGACAGACACACAGACAGAGAGAGAGAGAGAGAGAACAATCTGGAGACACGCGTGTTATCTGGCTTTGTGTGCGTCTGGCGCGCAGACTTCGACGTGTTCATGGACAACCCGGAGCTGCTGATGTTCGGCATGTGAGTGAGACACCTACTAGTGTGACAGACAGACAGACAGACAGACGGACAGACAGACCCGTGAGCATGAATGTCTCTCTCTGTCGGTGTGCGTGGAATGGACGCAGGCTGTGTGCCCTGATCGGTGCGGGCGTATGGCTGATGGTGGCTAGCTACCTCGGATGGCCCATCTCCACCACACACAGCATCATCGGGGCCATCATCGGTACACACACACACGGGGAGAGGGAGAGCGACACTATGCCTGTTAATTTGTGTGTGTGCTGTGTGAAGGCTTCTCCCTGGCGACGGGTGACCCGTCGGCGGTTCACTGGGACCAGGTCGGCATGATCATTGCTTCATGGATTTTCTCGCCAATCCTCTCGGGCATCGCTGCATGTGAGTCACGGCTGAGACACAGACACACACACACACACACGACACTCACATGTCTGTCTGTGTGCAGCCATTCTGTTCTTTATCATCCGCGAGGCGGTGCTCAGACCCAAAGACTCTGTGAAGCGCGGCTTCTGGTACTAAACACACACACACACAAGCAAGGCAGACAGGCAGACAGGCAGGCCCCGTGTGTCCTTCTGTGTGTCACCAGGATGCCGGTCTTCATCTTCCTTGTTCGCCACATTCTTCCTGTATCTGATCTTCAAGTAATCTTACAGGGAGGGAGGGAGGGAGGGAGACACTCACACACCACACCTCAACAAATTATCCATCCATCCATCTGCAGGAACAACGGCGTCCTCAACGGTGTGGCCTGCCTGATGTACGACAAGAAGCTCAAAGAGAACGTCATGAAGGAGCCCTGCAAGATCAAGACCTGGGCGGCCACCAACCCCGGGCTCGCTGTCGGCATCACACTCGCCATGGCCGTCGGCGCCGCCCTAATTTGCACACCGTTTCTCATGTGGTGGGTCAAGAAGGCACTGGCCAAGTATGACGCCGATGTGATCAAGAGCCAGAAAGACGCTGAGGTGAGCTTGCATACCTACACAGACCAGACAAAGGCACACACATAGAGGCGTTATGTGTGGGGGTACATATAGGTGAATCAGGTGAAGGAAGTTGAGGAGGGCTGCTCGAGTCGTGAGGGCAACAACAACGACTCGAGCAGCCCCGGCAGCGTCACGCCTGCACAGACGGTGCGGTGCACACAGACGCATCCATGCACACACATACACACGCCTGCAAACGGGTGTCTGCGTGTGTGTCAGGGGCTGCAAAAGGATGAGATCGTCGCTGTGGTTGAGGAGGCTGGGGAAGGTCCATCGAAGCAGAAGAAGGGGCTCTGGGCGGTACGCCGGCAGACACCCACCCACCCACTCACCGACTCCCTCTCTCTCCTCCCACAGATCCCACAGATCTCTCTGCGTGTGTCGTGACATGTATGGATGCAGTGTTTGCCGTTCAACCAGGACCTGCATAAGGAGGCCCTGCACGAGAGCAAGGAGGCCGCCCGCATCCACGAGAACACTGAGAACTTCGACGGCAGAAGCGAACGATTTTTCGCCATCTGCCAAGTACACATACACACGGAGGCCCCCCCGTGGACGCTCTCCCCCTGTGTGTGCGTGTGGATGGTTGCAGGTCTTGTCGGCGTGCTTCGACTGCGTGGGTCACGGCAGCAACGACACGGCCAACGCTGTGGGCCCCTTGGCGGCCATCATCGGTGTGTACAGCGCCGGAGCGGCCGTCGCCAAGGTCGAGACGCCACTCTACGTGCTCGCATTCGGCGGTGCTGCCATCGCTATCGGCCTGGCACTCTACGGACACCGGGTGAGCAATCCTGCCACACACACACACGCGCAGAGACAGGGGGAGGGGGGGCAGACGGCCACTCTGCGTGTAGGTGATCAAGGCAATCGGCGTCAAGATGGTGAAGATCACGCCGAGCCGCGGCTTCTGCATCGAGTTGGGTGCGGCCTGGATCATCATCATCGGCTCCAACCTGGGCATCCCCCTGTCCACCACCCACTGCCAGGTCGGCGCGACTGTCGGCGTGGGACTCACCGAAGCTGACAACGAATCGGTAAGTAAGCCATCCACATCATTATGCATTTATTGAACCCAACAGCCGCCGATGATTGAATGTGTGTTTTGGGTGTATGTATGTCTTCAGGGCCGCATGTGCACGTGGAAGAGGTCCGGTGTCAACTGGAAGCTCCTCCTGAACGTGTTTGTCGCCTGGATCCTCACACTGGTCTTCGCAGGTGGGTGGGATGGGGCGGATGGGCAGACAGACAGACAGACAGACAGATAGACGGACAGACAGACAGCACTCAGGCATGTTCGCCCGTTTGTGCCGTCCTTGCAGGTGCTGTGACGGCTCTGATCTTCTCTTTCGGAGCCTACGCGCCCTACCTCGCACGCGGCAGCCTGCCGGTGCCCACGGCGGCCTGATCGACCGACCGACACCAACGCCACACCAACGACACCACACGACATTGCACATGGGGGGTTTTATCGCCATTGGTTTTGAGTAGATTTATCCATCTGTCAATTGCTTGCATGTGTGTGTGTGTGTGTATGTGTTTCTCTTGGGAGGGGGGAGAGGAGGGAGTGTGTCTGTCTGTCTGTCTGTAGCTCATATCTCCGCTGGCCGTCCCATCGGCCTTTGGTGGCTTCGCGTCATCCATCCCATCCGTCCATCGGGTCTGTGCTGGCTGTATGAGTGGTCGTTTTGCAAGAGACCACACATGCCCAATTAAATTGAAGAAGGAAGAACGGAACGGACACACGTTTGTTTTTTGTGCACAGACAGATCGCACTTTACGTCGTAATTGCAAAATTCGCCAATACACATACGGGTGGGGAGGCGAGCGGAGATGGGGAGGGGAGTTGTGTTTGGTCAAGACACACACTCTGCATGCGCCGCACACAGGCATGGTACACACCATGCTGCCTGTTGTCGAGTGCGCCGTAATTGGTGCATGGTGCATTCGACACGCGTGACGTTTCTTAGTAGGGAGGGGAGGGGAGGGGAGTGGAGGGGAGGGGAGGGGAGGGGCTCGGGACGGTCAGCTATGGGATTTTTGTGGCTCATGATATCTATTGCTTGATGCGATTGATGCACTGACGTGTCTTGTGTATGGTGTGCTCTTTCTGAGGTGTGCTCTGCTCTGGGGATGCTGACACTGACACATGTACGACCCATGCATGGCTGGCCATCCCATGGGCCAGGCGGCACTCACTTCTTCAAAGCCAGCTAGCCAATTCTGTCTGGCACACATGCCAGCCAGGCCAGCCATGCCATACATGTGTCTGCCTGGCCATGGCTGCGTGTGTGTGTTTGTGTGTTTCCCTCCTTTGTGTCCTTTCTTCAAGTTTGAGCTGTACACACCAACCATATGTTTCTCTCTTTGAACGCACCTCGCTCGATCTGTTTTGTAGTACAGTGCTTTATGTAACTGTTTGAAGACACCTGTGTGGTCGAGATGACCACAGACACATGGGAGGGAGGGAGAGGGGGGAGGGAGGGAGGGTGGGAGGGGTACATGGCGAGCGACCACATAGGGAGAGATATATGCACGTGGCAGCCATGGTCGACTCGAGAGAGAAATGACATACGAATCGCTCGCTAGCATCAGGACCAACAGGCAAGGGCTAGCGAGCGAGTGGAAGAGGCAAAAGGAAGGCGGGATGTGCGTGTTAAGCGGATGACAGACTATGTGCAATGAACGAATGAGCAACTTGCTATAGCTCAATGCTCGTCGCCCCACCCTCCCTCCCCTACTACCCTCCATCCATGCATATCATCTGGCACTTTCCTCCCCCACCTCACTCACTGGAACAAAACCATCCACACACACACATACACATACACATCCACATTCAGAAGATGTTCATCTGCTGCCCACGGGCTTTGAATGAACATCCCTAGCTGGCTTTGAAGAAGTGGGGGCTGCAGTGGGGGAGGCGGCGGATGGGTAGGGGGTGGCGGACGGTTGGGCATGTTGGATGGTTGGATCGATTGCATCAGACAGAGACACACAGATGCTTGCAGACATTCAATCGAGCGACCACGATAAGTCCCATCTGTCTGTCTGTGAGAGACACACACACACCCCAAATCCAACGCATGACGCCAAATGAAAAACCATTCTGTAAGAAACTCGACTGACGGCGGCAAAACAAAGTAAGTCACATCGATCATCCAACACACAATTAAGTGTCAGCAATTAGGACACACAGACTTACATCTCTCTTGTCAGCAACAAAAACACATTCTTATATGGCACATGAGCCACTCACTAGTAAAGCTATTGGAAGCGCAGCGGCTGCTCGCTCCAGAACTGATCGTAGGCCTCGGCAGCCGTCCGGCCCTCCTCACGCTCACGCTCACGCTCACGGTGCTTCTGAGTGGCCGCTCTGGTCCTGTGGGGTGTGCAGATCAGATGGAGTCCGACCCGCATGGATCTCTGAGTGTCTGTTGGTACCTTGGAATGATCATTGGGCTCATCTCTGTGATGTCGCTCTCTGACTCGATCTCCTCCTCATTGATGGTGGACTCGTCCACCTTCTGCAACAAATGCGCACGGCTCCTCTGGGGGTGTGCAGTATCTGTATGTCTGTATGTCTGTGTCCGTCCGATGGGCACCTACCTGTCCGATGGGCATTATGGGCTTGGGGGGCATTATCGGCCGCGGCAACTTGTCGCTCTCCTGGACATAGAAACGTGTTGGCCACATATGTGGAGTGTCTAGAATACCATGCGTACTGACCAGTTTGTGTGCGCTTGTCTTTCTTTTGATGCGCTTGATGTCCTGCAGACACGTGTGTGACAGACACAATACAATTGCGTATTCTACCAATCTGTCGATCAAGCGCCATGGGTGCGTGTGTCCTTACAGGGTGTGTGAAGGCGATCAGAGCCGGGCAGGACAGCAGCAGGAAGTCACACACCCTGAGGGAACCAATGGGATCCACCCACGACGACACGTGTGTGTGTGTGTGTGTGGGTGTCGGTGTGTGTATTTGCCACCCGCCCTCCCACCAGGTCACTTTGCTGATGAGCAGCACAGCCGACACCCACAGAGACCGGATGACGGGCGCAGTAATCATCCTTCAGACAGAGCGGGGAGAGAGAGCCACTTGCGAAACAAAGACACGCACACACATGGCACGGTGCGTGTGTGTGTACCTGTGTGCCAGCGCCAGGGCACCGGAATAGTACCACTTGCCCACCAGAACGCCATCGAATTTCTGCATGTCCATTTCAGAGATCCACACACGTGTCTTTCGTGTATCCACGTGTGTATGTGCGTGTGTACCAGGATGAAGACCATTAGGAAGTAGAAGCACCAGGTGTCCCATGTCAGGATGAACGCATAGCCCAGCAGGTCCTTCAGACGCCAGTATAGCAACTGTTGTTGGCCACAGGCACACAGAGAGACACAGAGATACACAGAGAGACACAGAGATGCACACGCACACACAAAGAGGTCGACTCCGCATATTCGAGACACGGGCACACGTTTGCGTACCATGACTTCCTTCTCAGCGGCCGTGTGTGTCTCCTCCACGATCCGCTTGGCAAAACAAAATCTGCAATATATGAACAAAGCAGTCGATCCACACACACACGCGCGTCTGCCGTGGCGTGTCCGCTTACCGCAGGAAAAGGGGCACCGGCACGGCAAGGACGACCGCCCACAGAGACGCAAAGAATACTGACCATATATGTATATATGGATAGTCCGTGTGTGCGTAAGGGCCAAATGCACGTTGTATGCGTACCGTGCCAGCTGATCACGAAGGGGTTGCCGAGAGGGAAACACACCTCGGCTGTCTCCATCCATCCATCCATTCATCCACAGAGAGAGACAGGCAAATAGACAGACAGACAGACAAACAGACAAACAGACATATCTATGACGTGTCGGTCTAGGCCAGGTGTATCTGTGAGTGACTGGTTGTACGTGATGGTGAGTATGCGCATTGTGCGTTGAAGAACAGGGAAGAGATGAAGAGTTCCGTCATGATGCCCGAGAACTCTATCGCATAACGCTGCGTCCTGCACGGCAAAGGCATACATAAAGAAAGACGCGCACGTATGAGGCGTGCTGCGCGTTCGCCGCTGACTGACCGGGAGATGACCGGGTTGTAGGGGAACGTCTTGGGCACTGAATTCACCCACAGGTAGAGTAGATGAGACATATTCATGTGTGAGGCACGTCACGTGTGTAGCCAAGGCGGCCGTACGCGGGTGTTCTCTCATGGCGACAGTGTATATGACCTTCCCGGCCGGCCACTCGTGATACTGACAACACACAGCACACAGACCATGGTCCACCACATGTGGTGCAGTCGCGTCGGTGCATATGCATGCATACCTGCAGCCTTTTTGCGAGGATGAGGTTCTGGTTTCTCTTGTTCTCCTGTGAGATGGCCGCCCTCAAATTCACCTGCAGAACATACAACGTACGTACGTACATGTGTGTCCATCTAACACAAGGGCTCGGTTCGTTGTCGTAAGCTTACGGCCTCCCAGGTGTACACCTGCCCAAACGTTTGGACACATATCATGGGCGGTGCACACACGTACTACACACTGTCTATCTATCATCTCTTCTCATCCTACCACATGGTCGTTCTGGTATTCTTCAAACCGCACCTTCACGCACACGCACATACATACATCGCCGTCGTCAAAGAGACATGACATGCATCTTTGCTAAAACGCGTCTTTTTTTACCAGCTTGTCATACACATTTCGGCAGCACTTGCCGCAGCTGGCACACCTGCCGACGTCCGTCTCTGCGTCCTTGTTATCGCCTTCCGCTCCTTCATGCTGCTGCTGCTGACGCTGCTGATGCTCCTGTCGTTGTTTGTCTGGTGCCACCATCGCCGACCTCTGTTCCGACGTGTGGAAGGGATCCTCCACAAGAATCGGTGCCGGTGACGGCGTAGCCACAGCCGCGCTCGCTTCGGGAGCCACGAGCGACCTGCATCCATCCATCCACTCATCCATGATGGGGTATGCATTCAGGCACACACACACACGAACGGACCCCTGCTGTGCGGGGCTCTGGTAGGATGTGGCAATCACGAGGTCGACCGTCTCGTCCCGTGGGCTATCAGCCTCGTCGCTCGCCGGTGTGCTCGCAGCGTTCCGCTTTCGCACTGCAGCAATGCACACATGAGCTAACCGTTGTTTGTACAGTCACATACTTACGTGAAGGCGAGTCTTGAGACGATTTCGACGCCGGTCGGAAGGCAGATTTCGGGGACGGTTGGTCGAAGAAGTCATCGACTTGCGCGACCTGCAAAGGCGACACCTCACCCTCCGCCCCTCGATCGCCGGCCGTCTCGTGAGCCGCCGTGGTCACAAACTCCTGAAGCACCCACACGTGCGAGCACGTATGTCGATCGGACCAACCCGCATGAGAGGGTGAGTGTGCACGGCAGGTGGCGCCCCACCTGGTCAGCCGCTGGCGATTGTTGCGTGTCGAAGAGTCCCCAGAAGTCGCTGTCGATGCGGAGATTGGGTTCCTCGGTCGACAGGGAGCGTGGGAGAGCACCGGCCTCGGCCTCGGCCGGCGTGTCCAGCTTGGTCGAGAACGAGAGTGACCGCTCGACCGGCATCTCTGGTGCGTAGGAGATTGTCTACATACACACACGTACACACATATGCGTGTGCAAAGGGTCGTTTGTGGACACGTACCACTCTCTTTCGTGACAGTTGAGGTTTGTTGGTCTTGTCGGCTTTGGAGAGTCGCGACATGTTGGTGGCAAAGGCATTGGCGAACACCTGGTGGCTGAAGTACAGCCGCAGTGAGGTATTGTTGCTCACCAACAGCTTCACAGACGGCAGACACGACGCCTTGATGCCCTGGTCGGCGTCCGCGGCCGACTCCTCGCCAGCCAGCTCCTTGATCTGCTTGATGTGGGACATGAAGACGGCATAGACGGTGTACTGCACCTCCTTTTCTTGCTCGCCATGCCATCCCTCCCGGCCGGCCCCTCGCACGGCCGTCAGTGCCGACCTCGGCAGTTTGAACAACGACCGGACGGTGTGCGACGTCTGTGCGGCGCTCGAAAGCGCCGTGGCTGCAGACAGCCGCCTGCTGTGGGTGTCACTTTTCTCCTTGAGTGTTGGGGCGGTCTCTCTCGGTAGAATGTTGAGCACGTGGCCGATGTGGGAGAGCCAGAGCGAGCAGAGGCCCAGCTGCGGGCAGTAGGCGTCGATCGAGGTGGAGGGGATGAAGAGAGGGGAGCTGATGGCGTTGTGCCCGATCAGATAGGTGGTCGACGCCCATGAAGGCTGTTTTCCTTCTGCCGATGATGTTGGCGAGGGGACCGGCTTCCAGCTGTAATCCCTCCTGGCGAAGAGCGGCACGGGAGACAGGAATCGGAGGTCTCCTGTGGGATTGGCCATCTCCAGGCTGAGCTCCATTGCAAATCTGACGTCCGAGTCGGCCTTCTCGGTAACGGCATCTGACGGGGGTCGCGAGACGATGCTGCTGTCGCCGTGGCTGCTGGTGGTCGTGTCCGTCTGTCTGCGGACGAAGAAGCGGACGATGGGGTTTGGTTTGGTGTCGTCGATCTCGATGACGCTGTGCTCAATCGGCAGGATGTGGCGCGGACCCTCGAAGTCTACTAACGGCTGTTTGAGACATGCGAAGACACTGACTTATCCATAATACGCAAGTACGTGTGTGTCTCACTTGGAGAGAGCCTTCAGCAAATGCGGCCTCCGGGTGTACACAGAGGATTCTTCCCTTATCGGTCAGCCACAGCAGATGACGTGTGTCCTCAAACAGATTTTCCTGACTCCCTGAGATGTTGCCCACCTACACAGAGAAACCATGATATGGAAATCATTCGTACAACACCGGCTGGCTCACGTTGATGACGGCTGATGTCAATTGTCGACAGGCGAGGAGTGGGGATCAAAGAGCCACACACGGGACATTCACCTCCACAAGATTGTGCTCAGATGCCTCACCTTCAAAGGTGAAGTCGTGTTGGGGGAGGAAAAGCGCCTCCTTTTTCATCCGTCTGCCCACAGACAAACAGATGAAATCGATAATAAGGAGACATGGTGCATCGACCCAGATCAGCATCACCTGATGGAGACGGGAACGGCGCCGAGAGGCGGTAGGTAGCGTGACATCTTGTCAGGGCCGAAGTACTTGATCTTCTGCAACTCGATGTCGCTCGTCGAGAGTTGCACCTCGGCCGCCCTGCGTGCGACCCATGCCATGAATGTGTGGACGCACGGGGACGCAAACACAGAGCTTACCTCAGCTTGCTGTATGCTGTGTTGTTCTCTTGCGCGTCCAGAAGTGCTAGAAACATCTGCTTCTGCTTCACAAGATAGTCCTGCTTCTTGGTGTAGATCTTTGTCAGCTTCTTGTGCGCGCGACGACCTCCCTTGACAACTGGACGAACAAATCCACACGCACACACGTCGATTGGTCCTATAGATAAAAGCACAGGCGGACGTGCTTACTGTCGCCGCCCTTGAGCAACCGATCGGCCCTCCGGTCATTTTTAAGGGCAGAGTAAGCAGAAACGGCGTGGGCGACCTGCATCGCCTGAGGCCTCAGCTCCAATTCCTTCTCGGGCGACAGACCAAACGCCTGGAATATCGGCCTGGAGACATCGGAAATGCTTGCACGGGTGCAGCTGAGTCGGATTGAGGGTGGTGTTACCGCGAAAGCGGGGGTATTGTCCAAGGGGTGTCGCCTGAGGGCCGCTGCGCGCCCTGCCTGCCGTCAGCAGTTGACGGCAAGGTGCTCGCGGACACGATAGATTCTGTGCGAGTGGACATGACATGGACGCATTTGTCTGTCAGTGTGCATGTTGTCTTCCTTTCTGGGTTGCATGTGTGTGTGAGTGCATACTGTCGTCGAAGGCGTTGTACTCATTGACCTTGTAGCGCCTCCCTCTCCGCGCGACGCTGCGAAGCGTCAACAGAGAGGCGGCGAGACGAGCCTGGACATCCCTGTACTCCTTGTGCTCGATTTCAAACTGACATGGATGCGTTATGACCACACGCACCGAGACACACATGTGATACCTCAGTAGTGACATCATGTGTCTCTCTTGCGTACGAATGGTGTCTCATCCATGTCTTTCTTCTGGATCTTTGCGTCCGTCAGGTCCCTCATGGCTCGCTGCGCCGCCTCCTTGGACCGTAGATGTGAGGTCAGAGGCGAATGCTCCTCCTCCTACACGGCAGAGATGAGATAGCACGGGACACTATGTGTGCCTATCCCTTACGTACCATGTCACTATCATCGTCGACAGTCTTGCCGACCACGGGCAGCTCCGAGAAGGGCTTTGGTTTTCGCCGGACCAACGAGAAGAACCACCCGAAGCAGCAGAAGTACTGGACAGTCCGGCTGCATACATACATATTACCTTCGTCGAAACATTCACTTGTGAATGCGTGAATATATAGCCCCATCGCCACCCCATACGGCGCCCTACTACTGTTCACCCCACATGATCATGGAGACATTGATGATGACCGGGGCGACCAGGATGAGCCCGCCGAAGAAGCGAAAAGGAGGGCATATCATACAAAGGAAGTCCATGTTTTTCCTCGCATATCGGTCCTGGAAGAAGATATGCCGTCGTTTGTGCGGCGGCCGCCAATCCCGCCTGCATGGACATACAGATACGGTTGCGTTGCTGTGGACGCCGTGATATGTCTGACGCAACCGCCGAATGACCTGTCACGAGAAGTGAAGTACATGCACGGCGAGAGCAACAAGCCCATGAAGAACAACAGCGCCACAAAATGCGCGGGCCGCTTGCCTGCACACACGCGACCGAATGTGCACGCATGGATGCAGCCGCTCTGTGGCAGACCGACCCATTGACTGAAAGAGAGTCGCCGACTTGCCCACGAGGCCGATGTTGGAGTCGTCATAGCGGCGCACAGAATGCTTCGCCGCTGCGACGAATGAGGTCAGATGATCACATCCGCATCGCAGATGAGTGCCGTTGTCTGCGGTCAACCAAGGTCAACACAAACAAAGGCACAGTGGGTATCTATGTATGTGATGCATGTAATGGCGGCTCCCTCACTCTCGAGCTCATAGCAGCCCTCTTGCGACCAGTTGCCTCTGGCCTCGTCAAAGAACATGCAGGCGCACTCCGTCACCGCTCGATACGTCACCTGCGGCTCGACAGGCGGACCTGAGACTGACACCTGAGGATTGAACGTGCTCACGCCCGGCAGCTGCATCCATCCATGGATGGATAGAAGAGGAAGACAGATGCCTCCGTGTCTGTCTGTGTGGTGTGCCTCAATGCGTGTGTCCGCTAACCGAGAACAATTGCCTTCTGGCGGGCGGGGCGACGGCCTCTAGCATGCGTGTGGCTGTCTCGTTGTCAATGGCCGGGCACTCCATTAGAAAGCTCACAACACGCTCGCCGTCGATGTCAATCTGCCGGTCGTCACAGGCTGAGTGCAGCTCGATCGTCTGGACGTGGCCGAGGGAGGTGTCGGCATCCGTGGGGGAGAAGGAGAAGGGATCGGCCGCCCACTGCACTGACGAGACGGCTATGGGGCAGCTGGCTCCCGTCGATGCGCCACTGGAAATGTTCAGAGAGCCCTGCGTGACACAGACAGGTTCCAGCAAGCCACCAATGAATGATCGAGTCATATCAGCTTACGTCGTCCAATGTGACGCCTTCTCTGGCGAACTGCTGTTCGTCTGCTTTTCGGACAGTGATCCTCAAGCCGCTGTTCTCGACGTCTTGCTCCTCTCCCTCATACACATCGTCAGCGAAATCCTGCACAACTCCCTCTGCCGCCTGTCTACAGCCCCGGGAGGCCTCTTCCGTTAAACGGTGCTCCGTGAGAGACGAGAGGCTCTGATGGACCAGGACAGACCATGTGAGGGGGCGAGACGTGCGGGACGCAGTGCATTCTTACCCCGAGAACAGATTGCCGTGCCACTGTGGCTTCGGCAGGACAGGAGCCCCTCTGTACACGGGCCTGGTCAGCCACAAGCTGGGCCCTGTATGCGACGCAGGGAAGGAGGCACGAGCGTCATCTATCCGTGTGCGGGTGTTTGTCTGTTGTGCCAACCCTCTGCCAAGCGCCTCCTGGTCGAAGTGGTCAGAGAGGTCTGATGAGAGCATCTCGGCGATAACCTGGGAGGCCACGCAGACCTCGCCCTCGCCAGCAAGCGCCTGTGATGTCTGATTTCATGCATCCAAACACACGTGCACACCATCAAAGCACACAGACAGACAAGTCGTGGTATGGCACCTGGATGGCGTTAAAGAGGCCGTTGACCAGCTCTTTCTGCTTCTCCGGCTCCGTCTGCTGTGCAATCGGATCGACGGCCAGGCTGCACGCGCTCAGAATCGTCGATGCGTCACCGGTCATCAACACGGCGGCGTCGAGCGTGCTAGCGATCTCGTCAGCGCCCACAACCGCCGCTCTCTCGCTGGTAATCTCCACGTAAGGGCACTCGTCGCCTTTTTCCCCCGTCGTCATGGCGCACTGGTAGACATGAGGGTCTCTCACGGCTCCGTACACGCGCCAAGTGCCCGTGGGCAACGGCCGCTCACAGGTGAGCCCACCTTCGATGGCTTTTTTGAACTCACAGAGGCGGATCGGTGACAACTGCTCCTCATTGCTCCGGTAGAAGGCAAACTCCTGCAATCATGCCCACTTCATCGCAACCAAGAGTGTGTGTGAGCTGATGTCTCTGACCAGCTCATCGATGGGGCCATCATCTTTCCAGTTGGATTGCTCAACGTGGATGGCTTCAAAGGCGGACACAGTTGACTTGCTTGCGGCGACCTTGCCTCCGTACGGATGGCGATCGACAGCAAAACTGTTGGAGCTTACCGTTTGCCCGCCAACAGTCGCCTGGACGCGATAGCGCTGCCCGACTGTAAGCAAGCTTGTGTCCAGCACGACACCAGAGAGGATCTGTGCGGAGTCTTGTACGCCCTGCCTGAGCAAGACGCGCCTGCTCTCAGCCTCCGAGAGGGTCTTGTTTTCGATTGTGAGTGTGCCGTCATCCATATGCTCGAGGAGCCATTCCACTTGCGTCCCTTGGGCGACCGATGGCTGGCAATCTGGAGGCACGGCCGCAGCAGTGTCGATCGGCGAGGAATAGAGAACGATGTCGATTCTCTCTGTGCGAAAGGAGACCCTGAGAAGTGACAGGAGACATATCGACACTCAGAAGAGACACGTGTGTTACTCACCGTTTGGGTACAGACGAAAACCATTTTGCTGTGAGGCCCTGTTCATCCACCAGAGCCACTCTGCTCACCGCAACGCCATCGGCACTCACAGCACTATCGTCTCTTTCCAAGTGAGCCGTCATGGCGAAGAACACGACACCGGCTGAGAGGTGCCCACCCTGAACGAATTTCTCACCCTTATGTGAGCCGTCCGTCGTGTCTCCTTCCTCAAATGCCTCTGTTGTGCAGTCAAAGACGACTGAAGACGACTTAAGGAGGCCAAGCGCCTCATAGCCGGATGGAGCGTCACAGACGGCTTCATCGAGCTCCGCCGCCTGCAGTGCTGACGCTCCATCCCCATTGAGCATGAAGCAATGCCATCTGAACGCTAGAGACGAATCAGTTTGTGCCGCAGTCGCCTGATAGTGTAAGGCGAATGGGCATGTGGCCGAGACGCTCGTTGGCCCGCTGAGAGACACACGTGGAGTGGAAGCGCCGTCGATGTGCACAACAAAATCCACATCCGCCGAACTCTCTGGATTACCTCTGTAGGCCACTCGAGCAACGACCACGTACGACGAGTACGTCTCGAAAAAGCCTGGGGCGATCTCCAGTTTGAGCTGGTGTCCCGAGGTATTGTTGAGGGAGATGAGCTCCGACGATTGCGGCATCGTCTGTCGATAGAGCCAGTCCACGATGATGTCGCTAGGTGTATGCTGAGTGCCGCTTTCCGGGCACCTGCTGGCTTCCAGCGCCACACGCAGCACAATGGCTTTGTCAACATGGAGACTCATCTCCGACGGGCTGTCCAGTGCAGGCACGACGTTTGGGCGAGTTATATTATCCGTCAAATCGACGTCAATCTCAATTTCCTCGTTGAACTGAGAGCCGAGAAAATTTGCCGCCGTCAAACGGAAGACGAACAGCTCAGAGGTCGTCTGTTGGTCGACGGCTGCCCGGAGGTGGTCGCTCGTGACGCTCATGTGAGTGTCAGAGAGACCTGAAAGACAACACATGACACAGATCAGGTCAGAATGGTGAAATCTCACCACCTCTCACCATTCTCAGCGGAAATGTGCTGGTTGAGCGACGCGCAGGCCTCAGTTGGTTCAAGACACGTCCACTGAATGTCGATAGGCCTCCCAGAGCCTCCAGAGAAATAGACGTCAACATGCACGCCTTCACAAATCGAGTAGATCGGCTTCTTCTGAACCACGGCCGACAAGACAGGCAGGTCGACGCCAGAAAGGATGCCGACTTCATGGGAGGCCTCCGGAATGAGCCATGCCTGTTGGAGCACGTCGCTGAACGCAGCCTCTGCACGTGCGATGGTGCCGCTCTTGACATGGATCATGTCGCCAACACGGGCAGTCGGGACATCTCCGAAGAACACGCCAATGGTGCGATTGGATGTAGCGAGACATGACGGATCGGTGCCAAAGGACGCCCTGCTGTCGTCAACGAAGGTGTAACAAAGATCCGTTGGTGAGTTGGCAGTAATAGCGGTGACTGTTGTCCCATCATAGCTAACTGCGATGGGCAGGTCGAATGACACCAGCAGTGACGAGAAGCCCTCCATGAAGTCCACCGCCAGCAATGTGGGCGTAGCGAGCTCCTGGCACAGATATGCCTCCCCTGGAGCCGGTACACAGCCGATCGTTGTCTTGGTGGTCTCGAGAGCACAGTCAACCAGATAGCATCCGAGCAGCAAGTCTTGTGATGGCCGATTGTCGGGCGAGCATCTGTGCCAGCCGGCGGGAAGGGTAGCTGCCTTGTCAAGGTTGCACATTGAAATCCGTGTGCAAATGGACGGCTGGCCGATGACCACGGAGCAAGTCCATCCGTCCTCTATGGTTAAACAATCTCCCGAGCATCCATCACCCGACACATCGTTACCGTCGTCGCAAGCCTCCTCGATAGTCCTAAAGGCGTCGCCGCAGTGTGGTTGACATGAATGGAAGAAACCGCCCGTGTCCAGAGCAACCGTCTCACACTCATAGCCCTCACCGCATGGCTCGGCACACCCTGATGGATGCATTGACAAAGACCGGTGTACACATACACGTGTCAACACGATTTTCATAAAGTACCTTCCCTCACGATGATGACTCTTCCACTCTCGGGAGCGATATCGAACTTCTCATCCGCATCACAGCTCTCGTCCCTGTGCTGACTTGCATCACAATAGCACAAACCCACCCTTCCCTCTTCCGTCGCAGCCACCGGTCCACACACCACATACGACGTGTCGTTTTCCCCCTGTGCGCACGTAACCCGATCACCGCCAGCAAGGGCGAGACAAAACGCAGCGGCATCGAGTGACTCCGGGTCCTGCACGCTTGGCGGCAGATAGCCGTAGATGAGTTGATCGTGGGCATGATCGAAATGGCTGCCGAAGACCAGCAGGGAGAGTTGAGAGCCGACGCCAGCAGTTAGCGTGGCCGTGCCCGGTATTTTGATCTCAGAGACGGTTGATCGGGTGTCCAGAGGGCCTGCGTACACGAGACATGCATTCACACACGCTATCCGCTGAGGGCCTGGGCTTACGATATGCCACAGTGATAGAGAACGTCTCCACATTGAGGTTCCCAGCCCGATCAGCCGCCAAACCGGGCGGCACCTCCACCACAAGTGACCCAACACTGTCTTTCAGCACCAGTACGTACCCCTCAGTAGCGTATTCCCCGCTCCTTGGGGAATGAGAGACAATACTCAGCCCAGGCGTCGCGAGCTTCGTGATGTCGATGGCGATAGGCTCGTTTGCGATGATGAGAATGGGCACTGTCCCATTGGTGGACGAGAGGTCCGTCGATCGGATGTACGGAGCGGTGTCGTCGATCGCGACGGAGCCGACGGGTGGTGTCTGGTCGTTTGCCACGAAGACGGTGTTGGAAGGGGCGTTGGACAAGCCGGATAGGTCGCCAACGACAACGTCGGCAGCGATGAAGAACGAGGCGTTTCTATCCGGCTGCAGCGTCACGACAATCCGCCATAGGCTTTCGGCTGCATCCAGCGCCACCAGGCTATCCACAGTCGCGTTGGACACAGTAATGTCGTCGACTGTGAATGACGACGCCTGAAGGCCTTCAGAGAAGCTTGCCGTCAAAATCGTGAAAAGCTCTCTGCAATAAGACACCTCTCGTGACAAGAAACTGTCCATGTATACATTTTCTGGTCGTCACTACTTTGTCATAGCTTTGCCATCGTCGATCGTCAGCGTGACGGAGGGCTTGTCATAGACCACTGAGCGTCAAGGAGAGTACCAAGAAGGCCATTCATGCCTACATATGACGTGTGCGCCTACCCAGCCCAAACGACATTTCGAGAGTGGCTTGAATGAGGCCGGGAGCCGTAGTCGAGTAAGCGGACACGACCAGCAAGCCGGCCGCATTCGACGTCACCCGAAACGTCACGTAGCCCTCATGCAGATACGTGAACCGACCGCAATCGCCGTCAAACACCTGCTCAGCAATACACACACAGAGAAGAGATCTTCTGTAGGAATGCAAAAGCTCACCCACCTGTTGGGCGTTTCTTGTGCATGTGATGGAGACATCGTCTTGCCGCGTTGGGACATGGTTGCTGAACGCATCTTGCGTCTCTACAGAACCATCGTCCCGAAAAACCATATAAGCGTATTCTACAGAACCATCTTCCCACATTTTCCATCACCCACCGAGGCGCAGGAGGACCATCGTGCCGACATCGTACTCAGGCAACACGGTGTTCATGATGATCAGACCCAGCTGTGTCACCGGCCCATAAGCACACGTGACAAATGTTGACGCCGTCACGTCGATGTGCGCGTCTGATGGGTTGGCCATTGAAACGTTGTATTGGCCGCTGGTGGTCAGCTGCTGTGAGATGGAAGCGCTATTCTGGTTTGCGAACGACACCGATCTCGTTGGTCCGATGGCCCCTCCGTCGGTAAGAGAAAAGACGAGCTCCACGGTGGCAGTGATTGCCTTCGGGCTGCCGCCTGTGTCTTGTGAGGACAGGGTGACCGACACGTTCTGGCCAGCCGTGACAGTTGATGGAATGACGCTGAGCACGATCCTTCCCGTCAGGGCGACGGCTCCTTCAATAACGATTGTCGCTCCCTCATGTCCCACCCACGTGGGCGTCTGGCCGGCCAGCTCCCAGTTGGTGTCGGTCATGGTGGTCATTCCAAGTCGCAGCTCGTTGCTCCCAGCTCCAGTGCTTTGCACAGAGATAATGGCCTTGCCGTGTGTGACGGCCACTATCGCCGTGCCCGCGGCTGAAGGAGACACGCAATCACTGAAACATAGAGTCGTGGGTACGTGTGCACGCGTGTGTACCGATGTTCTGTGAGACGATTGCAGGCGATGGCAGGAAGGACAGTGTGGCTGATATCCTGTTTTCGTGTGTACGTAGGTAGATGTTGAGATTGCCAGACACCTCAGGGCAAAACTCCCCTGACAGGTGGTGAGACAAATTCTACAAATGTGCTGTGTCGATTATGTCCGTATGTTTTCACCGTATGCGTCGTTGGCCGTCAGAGTGACTAGTATCGGCTGGTTGACAGGCGCCATGGCCGGCGCGGTCGTGACTATTTTCGTGGGAACATCTGCAAAATGTAAGTTCCTCCGCAAAGATTCTTCCGTCTGTCTACGTCAACACAGACACGCACCTGGTAGCACGTAGATCGATTTGCTCATCATGTAGTAGCCACTTTTGGCGGTGGGGATCATCAGTATCTGGGTTCCACCTGCACACTCGTGCACACATCATGTATGTATGTGGATAAGTGGGAAACAATGAACCTGCATATGTACCTTTCGTCTTCTTTTGGATGGTGGTCGTCCCGCCTTGGCCATCCTTCGGCGTGATGGTCAGCATGCCGCTCTGTCTCAATGTGATGGATACATCACCGTAACCTGCATACATACGTAGACCCATGTGTGTATACAGTCTACATCGAACGCAGGCGCACCATCGGTCATCGCAATTGTCGTCTCAGTCTCATTCACGGCCCAGTTGTCGAAATAATTTCCGCCCTCGCCACTCAGCAACACGAAGTATGTGCCTGTATATGACACGTGTACAGACGTCTTTTGATCCTCATGCTTTTCCAATCGCCGACCGCTGACGCCGGCCTCGTTAGTGAGTCCGAGATCCGAGTAGGTGGCGCCATGTATGCGTGCCGTGACGGTCTGGCCCGCATGCGGAACCGGGACAGACAGTGACTCCACGTACAGGACACGGCCTGTGCACATTCACACAGACCAAATGTCGCTTTCATGTAGGACCCACGTGTACTCACGTGTACTCACTTGCAAAGACGACCGTCTTGGTCGCCTGGAGCGTATCATGTGCGACGGTGATTTGCACTCCTTCCCAATACACCCCGCCGCAGCCCGCCTCATCGAACCCGATCTCAAAGTGGCCAATGCCCTGCCCATTCATTCGCATACACGTATGTCGATCGATCCATACCCATCCATGCATTCGTATTTTACCTTTTCGATTGGCACGTGGTCGCCGACCCAGTAGGGCGTGTTGCGAAAGCGCACACATGCCTGGTGCGAGAATGTCACAGTGGCCGAGCAGTTGGTGCAGCCGCTTGGACCCTTCCCCAAACACACATATGTGCGCAAATACAGACAGACTGTTTAATGTGTGTTCACATGACCTGTGCTCCTCCTCACGTTCTCGACGACGTTGCCATATGTGTCAGTAAAGTGGACGTAGACCTTTGTGAACTCGGGGGGAATGATGGACTTGGCCACTTCGATCGAGATGCCTTGGGGAGGAGCTTTCTCTGTACAATCGAGCAAACACACATATGTCTCACAGAGAGGGAGAGCCAATTCCGTCGGCTTACCGGCGTGCCAGTGGACCGTCTGCATTGTCTGGCCGTTCTTGACTCTCGCCATGGTCTTTCCTGGCGCCCGCTTTTCGGTCAGTGCAACCGACGCGAGACCGTTGACAAGAGTCCTCGAGTGCCGCGAAAGCACCGAGTGCATGACGAAGGCTGATCGACCCTGCGTTGGGTCGCTCGCTGCATGCGACAGGGATACCAGTGAAAAATAGAATGGGGGAGCCATGGAGGCCCCATTAGCTTACGGCTTTGCACAGCCAGCCAGTGCGTGTGCTCGAGGAGTGAGTTGGTCAGCAGGCCGTTGGGTTGGTCGGACGCCCACAGGTGGAAGCACTCGTGATTGTTGTCATCTTCACTGACACACAAGGAGGGATGTGTCAGTCAACGTCCGTGTGCATTTGTTGCATACGCTTCCAGTTGGCTGGCGGTGAAGCCTTTTTCCTTAAGCGACTTTGAAGCGTTGGCAAAGAAGGAGGTGTACTTGATTGAAACACACCCGTACGTACACGTATAGATGGAGACAGATACATATCTGGAATGAGTTAATTTATCATGAGTTACCTGCACGAAGCGGAAGACGTTCGTGTTGTCGAAGGGCTGTTCGAAATCGATGATGATGTCGGTCGTTCCGCTAGGCGAATCGAGCGGCCTGTCCTCTTTGAACCCCGCCTCCCAGATGCTCGACGCTAGACTGACACACAAACACACATGTCTGTATCGGTCTGTTTGTTTATGGCCGAGTCTCTGTGGGAACATACGCTGGCCCCTGGCGCTCGATCGCGATATAGCCGACGGTGATGTCTTCCAAGGGCGATCCCAACACACCGTCCTCTGCACGACACACGCATATAGACACATTCACGAGCCCAATGACACAGGCATGTGTAGGTTTGGTCACGTACGCTCGTCTTGCAGTGCGATCAGGAAGCCGAATGGAGTCACGTCGCGCACACGTGCCAGCAGGAACCTGTGGCTGGATGTGTAGGGCTGCGGTGTTGCGATTACCACCACCCTGCTGGTGACTGGGAAGGGCCGCTCGAAAGTGACGCGCTGCCATCCATCCGTCGCGTAAGTGATGGTCTCGCCACCCACCGTGAAGTCAGCAGGGAACACGACGGTTCCAACCTGTCTCACACGAGACGTGAGAGGCACATGCAGTCAGAGACAGAGAAGCGGTCCACTTACGATTGCCATATCGAGCTTCGGCCTCATCGGGCTCGGCGTGAGATAGATGCCCTTCTCGACAACAGCCCAGTCGAATCCCGTGTGTCCCGTATGAGGAGTCGCCGCACACGCGGGCTGCTCTTGCCCCACAGAGAGCGACCAGCCGGCGTCTTTGCTGCCGGTGATTCGCTTTACTCTCGGCCTCGCCGCACCAAGGTTGCTACCTGAGATCTGACACACACGAGAAATCCCTCGCCTGTGTCATTTTCTGCTGTGTACTTGTGAAAAATGGATTCCCAGGAGAACGATCGGCTCGGTGAAGGTCTGCGTGACAGTGATGTCTTCGTCACTCGACTCGTAGACCCTTTCCTCACGGCCCATCTCGACGTGCGTGGCCGTACCTGCAGATGCAATGGGAGCGGTGGATGTGTGTGTGTGTGTGTGTGTGTCTGATTCACCCACTTGTGCCACTGATGCGTGTGAAGTGGGCATTTGCTGGGACGATGACAAAACCGCCTTGGTAGACCCTGATAGGATTGCAGTCCGTGTGCATCGTGTGCGTGTATATGCAGATTCGCGTGTCCCTCCGTGTTTGTGTGCGTGCACACTTGAGGAAATCCCCGGATGCGAATTCCATCAAAATATAGGCGCATCCGTCGTCTCCCTCTCCGGCTGATGGCTGGTCGGAAACCTGCAGACCATCAAGACACATGGAAATCGCCTATGTGTGTCTGGTGGTTTGTCTTGGCTCACCACAATGCCCCTAGGCACAAGTGTTGCTGTAGTAGCATCCAGTGTGTACATGAATGTCTGGAGTAGGTGCATATATTGACGGACAATCACGTGCCTCCCTCCTTTCCTCGTTGTCGCACCATGGTTGCCTCGTCGTACGCGAGCGTCGCGATCGGCTGTGGGGAGGTCGAAAGTGACTCGACATACTGACCACTCACGTCCCATGCTGCATGCTCGCCCACACGCATATCATGCCATGTGCGCTCATGAGACCAATCGCTCACTCACTCGGGTCGACAGAATAGCATTCTGAGTACTCCTGGTCCCAACAGCACCCCAGGGCCTCGCAGGCAGCCTGGCTCACATCGGCGGTCATCAGGCACCGCGCAAAGGCCATCTTTCGGTCAGGACAGCTGACATACGCTACAGACAAACCAGAAAAGCACATATGATATGCATGGAAGCTCTCTAGAGTGTCTGTGAACACACCCGTGTGGGTGCCATAGTGGGTGGCCGTCTCGACTTCGACCGTTTGGCCCGTCCCAGGAGATGTTGCATTTGCCTCTACGAAAATACATAGACGTGCATTGACGCACTGTCTCTGGTCGCTTACCTGGCCCCAACGTGGGACAGCTGTGCTGGTCATATGTGGCCGCGTACACGAAGACCGACGAGTGAGTGCTCTGATCTCCCGTCACCAACGCGCGCTGGCCACTAACCGTCACCATGTCGATACTCATCGCGGCCTCGACTATAACATATGGACACACATCGCATTCAATGTGTTATACTTCATACACACGTGGCCTACACGGGATTTGTTTGATCTGCGAGACGAAGCTGGTCCGTGTAGTCACGCCTGTGCCCCTCGTGGCTACACAGTCGCCTGGCAAAAGAGAAGAGAGGGTTCGCATAAACGCTTGAGCTGGACATGTGACATAATATCAACACTTGCCTGCTGGTCCGGAAGATTCGTCAGTGACGGCACAAAAGCACAGCGGAGAGGCGGCGCAGCTACACAAGACGCAGAGACATAGATGTGTGTCCCTGCGTCACTTTGGCGTGTTGGGTGAATACCTGTCTCTGCACTGGTCAGCAGACATCCCCGTGCCAAGGGGCGTCCGATCGCCACTGCAGTCGCCATTCTGCCTTGTCAGGAAGAACACTACATACACCCAAAAAATGTACATACATCAAGCAACCCATGGATGGGGCGTGGCAGAGATCAAGCCATGCTCACCCTTGTGCGACCCCATCACGCGAATGGAGTATACTTGCACAGGGAGGCCGCCGTGGGTGTCTTCCAGGTAGACAGTGAGTTTTGTGGTCAACACGTATGGGAACCGCACACGCAAGGTGACCTGTACACATGCACAGCACATGTCCTTCGCATGTATATGCACAACAACGTATCTTTGTGTCGTCACCTGGTCGTTGTGCTGCACGTTGACTATCTCCTGCATCGCGTTCAGCTCGTCGCTGTACTCGACTCTGATCACGCGCGGTGTCCTGTCCTCTGCCAGCAGATACGGCTGCATGATGTCCTTGCCGTACTTGTCGAAACCCAGCTCGATGCCACCTGACATGTCACATGCAAATGCGTTGTGGGAATTGCTATGCCCCCCTTTCCCTCCCATACACACTAATGTATCTGCTTTGGCTGAAGGTGATCGTGAAGTAGTCTGATGAGCCGTCGACCGAGGAACCTTGCCAGAACGTCTCCGAAGCACCCGTCACCATCTACGCATATACAGAGACATGTGAGTGAGTGTTCTCTTGAGGTCTACATGTGAGCACATTCTTGTCTTTGGGTCTACATTTGCGGTGCTTGTCGCCTCTGAAATTGGCGCGCCGAAGGAGTGATTGGGAAAGAGAGAGAACCTGAGAGGAAAGAGGAGACATCAGGGAAATAGTCTTTGCGTATTCTGCTTTTATGATGCTAGCTGACTCAGGCAGGGCGTTGCTGTTGACGACCATATTGACTAACGGCCGCCAAGATGATGCGTCGATATCGGTCCCGCCACGATGTTTGTTTATCAGCGCTGGTGAATGAATCCCACATTTACGGAACCACCACAACGCATATATGTGTTGTATGCATGCTTACGTCTGCACCAGATGCTCAGGCAGCCGGCGATGCTGCCCTTGGCCTCTCCAAGTGTCACCGACACGCCTGTCTGCTTCTTCAATAGGTGACACTCCCGCGTCTCTGAAGCGAGAAGTCTGTCTTCTGTCCGCCTCGTTGGTGGTTTTTCGCTCACCGTGTATGAAGTTCATGTACTGACAGTCGTTGTGTAGGTAGCACAAAGCAAAGCAACCCATCGCCGATTGAGGATAGAGCAGAATCGACTCGACCACCACGTTCTGATCACTCACGCACACAGCCGGCCGGATGTCTGAACAATACATGCATAAGTGTGTGTACCTGTGCATCGTTGTACGAGTAGTCAGGAGCGATCAGTGTCTGTGTGTGGCAATAGGGGAGACACGGCTCGCTGGTGGACGCCTGCTCGATCGCCGTGCATCCGGCCCGCCCGCTGATAGCCCCTGCCTCGCTCGCCCGTGAGACAGAGTCGCCGGGATATATCTACATACAATAATCGATCACCAGCAGGTGTGTACGTGTCTGTATGAAAAGTTTTCGGCAGCCACCTCAAAGATTTTGCACTCGGCCTGCCCGCTGAATGTTGAGAGCGTGAAGTGCGTGCAAGGGGAATTGTCCACACCTGTCACAGCCATCCATCTGTCGATGTATGTATGCGCCTATGTATGCATGTATCGTGAGGTATGTACATACGTATGTGTGTTTGCGTGCCTACAGTATTGCTGGCAGGCTGCGAGTGCGGGTGCCATCGGCTGGCCGACAGACGTGAGAAAGAATGATGCCAGCTTTCTGGGACTCGACGCGTCGCTGGCGTATGTGTACGCGAAATCGTACTGATAGCAGCCTGGACATATCGTATGTACACGTGTGCTCCTTCGTGTGTGTCTGGCTGTGTGTATACGTACTTGCGTTGCAGTGGGGCTGCACCTCTTCCAAGCAGCTGGTGTCCGCATATTCGCCAAAACCACAATACTGCATATGAAATCACGTCCATGCATGCCTGTCAGTGTGCATGTGCACTGCTCACTCGACAGCATAGATTGCCCTGGACGTTACACCCTGCACAGGCACAAACAGATGGCGGATGGATGTACGTATGAACACAGCCGCATCTATGCATCAGACCTGAGATGCCTATCTCACAAGTCGGATCAAACGTCACCTGAAAAGCGCAGACAAACGACGTATACATACATATTTGTTCCCGCCGTCGCCGCGTGTAATCCCTTAGCACCTTCTCGCCACTGCCCAGAGTCAGCCCAGCACAAGTTGTCCTCGTCACACTGACATCGGCCAAACACTCATCGATCAGAGCAGGAGTCCATTCAAACCTGAACACATGGTGGACGCAGACCCATGAGTTCACTATCGTGTTGTGTGACTGATGAACCTACCCTCGCGCACAGCTGATTGCAAGAACCAAAATAAGGCAGAAGGCGGCAAGATCAGCTGATCTCCACCAGCGGGGCATCCTTATCTGCCCACAGAAGAGGCTGTGTACGTATCAATGGGCAAATATGATGGATTCGCTGTGTATTCATCCATTGGCATTCATCTTTTGGCTCCCTCTTTCTCTCACCTGAATAATCCGAAACGGTCTCAGACTGTGAATTGGCAAAACACGCACCTCCTACCAATGCCTCGGGGGGCCGCGATGAGAAGGCACATATTCCTGAATCATTCCCGTCGTGACCGAAGGGAGAAGGCCCCCGCCCCATGCGAGCTGAGACGGACCCGCCCTGATGAGAGCCAGGGCATCATCCACAGCCCGCTGGCTGCCATCCGTCGCAGCCCGGCTGCTTCGCTGGAGGCTCCATGTCCCTCTCAAGCCTTCCGGATGCCCTTCTCAAGGAGGTGTTGGTGGACATGCTGCCTGTCGGCACTGACTTGGCTGCGATTCGCGTGACCTATCGCTATGGCAAGTATCTGATCAACTACGGCTTCCTGAAGCGGCGCATTCAAGCTTTCTGTCTAGCTGTGCTACATGGTTGTTTGCATAGTCCGATGCCACAAATCGTATGTCTAAATGACCACACAGAGTCATTCGTGAACCAGGGGAGGGTTCCCCCACTCCCGCACGAACCCTCTGGACTCTGTACACGCGTCCTCGTTCACGGGCCACACGAGACACCGCTCGTGGAGCTTAACCACTGGACTGTCGCACTCTGGGTCACACATGATCCCTGCAAAGAGAGACACCAAGCATGTGTTGTCTTGCCTCGTGTGTCTCCCTTCGTCTAGCTCACCCAGATCATACAGGGCCTTTAGCATTGCCTCCCTATTCTCGGCCGGACATCTGATGTATGCCTTGCCCGCCTGGTCTGGCATCCCACAGGGCACCCTGACCTTCTTTATCTGTGCGTCGGTGACCTGCACCTTGGTCAACGCGCACAGGCGGACCTGTAAGAACTCCTCCCCGTGTCTGAACAAAAGCATTTCCATCGTAACTTGATGGCGTCCAGGTGTGTTCGTGGTTTTTTGGCAGGTACTGTGTTGAGTGGGAGACGTGTTTGTAGTTCGCACCCTCGACGCTATGCACACGCCCTCCACCTATGTTCAGCAGCCGCTCCTCGTCCGGCGCTATCCAGTCCAATCCGACCATCTCCTCCTGCCATGCCTTGCATACGGCAGGGGCTTCCTCCCCATGCTGGAGGATGGACACCCCGATTTTTAGCTGGAGTCCCGTCGCGGAGCGCGTATGGTGCGGATACACGTGGCGGCCAGCGGCGGCAAAGTTGTGCTGCACGGTCTTGAACGAAACAGACTGACACACAAACATGCGAACAGCCACCAATGCATGGGTGAGTGGGTTCACTAGCCTTGTCTGATCCACCTGGTGGGTCTCCTCGAAGAAAAAGCCAGGGCCAAGCAGGCGAACCCGCTCGACGAATGCGGGGTTAGACTGCTTTGTGACCAACAGTCGCCACCACCTTGCCCCACCATAAAACTACTCCCAGCACACCACATGGGCACGTGAATGAAAGTCTCGCTTCCCGCGTTTCTCTCTTCGGTTTCGCGGCGCATCTCTTGTAGAGACTGCCGGCTGTCGGGTTCTCGTGCCGACAAGACGTCCTTGTCCTTGAAGAGTGAGTACGCACGCCCACGGTGGCGGATATGGGGGATGTCACGCTGGACGCTCTTCAACCAGCCTGGCAGCTTCTTGTGCATTCTCTGGACCCCCCCAACCGACATATTCTTCCTAAAACCACCTACACACCAGACGCGAGTCACATGACAGAGAGGTCAGCGGCTGAGGGACCTTCTCACCAGTAGTGACTGACGGCGTGCGGTGGCACTCAAGTCTCTCCCCTGCGGCCGTCGCGAGCTCATCGCTCCTCACGTATCGATGGCCGTGGCAGACCTGACAATGAGATACACCCTCTGATTCACATGTGGACTGTAGTGGCCTCTTTGAGGATACCTCGTAATGCTTGGTGCCTTCAAGGTTCAACGCCCTGTCGGCCGCTGCCTGCCTGTCACCGTGCTGGTCTGGGAAGGTCGCGTGCAAGCCGATGTATACGTCGACCGCCCCAAAAAACAGGACGAGACGGGCAGCGTCCTTCCAGATATAATCAGGCTTGGACAGGTCACCGCGCGTCCATGCATCCTGTAGGGCGGCCACACCCTCAGGATAGTATAGAAACCTGCAGTGGATGCACACCCGACGAGAGGGGCTATGTGAATCGATTGCCTATACCTCCTGCTGCCAGGGTCGCGATTGCGGCAGAACTCGCCAAAGTAGTACATGATCACCTTGTGCGGCAGCCTGAGCTCCACCATCCACTCGTATTGACCACATGCGCCCTGCCTCTGCCTGATGACAGACAGGAGAGGCGTCTCTCTTATTGAGTGAGGTACTGACGATGGGTCTTACTTCAGGGCCGCTGCATGTGGATGGCTTTCCAGGTGCTGCCGGAAGAGCTCCTCTATGTTCCAACCCGCCCCTTCCTCAATGTTCTTCACGAACACCACCCAAAACGCTTGAAACTCGACTGACGACATCATGGGCTGCCCGCCCGTGCGGACGACGACGGTGAGATGGTACTCAACTGTGAGCCGGAAGCGAACCTTGTCTCGGTCCGCTGGGGCTGGTACTGGCACTGGGGGGACGTAGCCTCCCCCAGCGACGTCGCCGTCCGCCTCAATGTCGCCTTCACCCTCATCATACCACCAGTCGGGCAGCCGGCGACGTTTTCAATCCCTGCCGACTAGGTAGTGGGCTTTCTTTGTGGGCGAGTCGGCTGAGTCTCTTTCTGCGGCCGAGGCAGCAGCAACTTGACCGAGTTGGGGGGCACCTGAGCCTCCTGGCTGGACGGCTGGTGGCTCATGTGGGACGGCCGGGAGCTCCTGGTCAGCCTCACCGTCCGCCGAATCGCAGGGGGGTGGCATGTCCTCATCCACATGCTCCTCTGCTGCTGGTGCGGCCTTTGACTGAGGAGATGGCGGTGCGGGGAGGCCAGACGGTAGGGATGAGAGCCCATGCGATGCCGTGACCCATAATGAGGCGGCTTGTCGTCGATAGGTGGGTCGAGGGGGGGCGGGTGGGGGCCGGTGCTGTCTATGTTCATTGCAGTTTCCTCCTGTGGACCGGTCGCATGGTCGGCGTGGGGGATAGAGCCATCGTATGGCTTGGGCTTGAGTCGCCGCTCCCGCAGATCGTATCGGCCTGCCCACGCGATGATAGCAGCCGCTACGATAAGAACGCAGACGGCGAGAACCTTCATCTCTGCTCCGTCAGCTCAAGTTTACAGATCGCTGAGCGGGCATCTGTCGGACCTGGCGCCGCCGCGTCCGGCACTTGGGGGTGGCATCCTTCACCGCTCCGTAGCCGCGAGGGTGGAACAACACCACACCGATGACCACTACAGGAGTGGAGCCGCAGACGGAGCAGAAGGCCACCCAGAGCCAGACCAGGCCGCACCGCACCTCCATCGACAGAGGCGAACACATTAGGATGAATTGCGAGACCCCAGAAGGATCAGTACATCTGCAGACACGCGTGCAGGGGATAATTGGATGGTTGATGGTAGGGAGAGCTCACCCAAACGAGAGTGGCCACGTGAGGAAAAGATGCAGCAGGTAGAGTATAAACCACCAAAACCACGGCCCGATCGTCCACCACACTTGACAGGACAGCCACCCCACCGCCATCACTGCCGGATGGACAATGGAGGCCACTCCAGTGTCATCGGCATTGTCGGCCGTGGGGAACTGCTCCTCCATCGCCTCCTCAACAGCCGTGGTGTTGCAGGGGGTGCACCCTGCCAACAGAAAAGGCCCAACCTCTGGCTGTGTGGATGGATCGGTGCATTCCATGGCATATCGGCTCACCACACTTGATGCCGCATGTGAGGGCACATGCGCGCGGCAGATTCGCACCCTGGCGCCCCGTCGCCGGAGCAGTAGGACGGTCAACATAGGTTGCGGCGTAGTAGAAGGTGGCGGGCAACGTCGACAGGACCGCCACTCTGGCGGCATGCACCAGGAACGCGCTGATGAGAGCGGTCGGCATCGAGCGGCTGGCGTAAAGAGGGGAATCGCAGCAGCAGAGGTTCCCAGCCGCAACGGTTTCAGGGAGTACCCTAGGCGGTACTGTGAGGTTTTGTCTATCTGTGTCGCAATGCCGCACGACACGACGTACGTAGTGACACTCACTTCACGGACTCGATGGCATCTTGCGCATGCAGCAAGAGCGGCGCGTGTTGCGACAGGGCCTGATGGGGTGGCTGGCATACCTGCTGGGGCTGGCATGGGTTCTGGAGAACGGCGGGGACTGGGGAGGATGGGACGGCGCGCTCCACATCGCTCGGCACGTTGGGTCACTCACGGCGCTGCCGATCATCGTGACGGCGGCAGACATCAAGAAGGTGATATCCAAGTCTGTCTTCAATACCCAGCCGGACGCCCTCAAGCAATACCTGGTAACACAGACAGCATGCACACGTCGATACAAGATGGAGAGCATGAAAGCAACGATTTGTGCATGTGTGCCGTGCAGGTCTTCGGCCACAAGTTGGGCCTCCCTTTGCTGCCGATCAACGCACAGAGTGTGGGCAGATTGGGCGATGAGAACCTCTTGGTCGCGGGGTCTCGCGATTTCTGGTCCCTGTACGACACCAATGTTTTCTACTCGACACATGACGAGAGGGATCCTGTCTGCAGAGGTGAGAGACATGTGCTGATTCATACGAGGTCGACTCAGAGTCTGCTGCAATCTTGGCGTCTGCAGTTGGCACCGAGATTTTCCGCTGTTTCCGCGACGTTGTAGTCATCAAGTTGGCCACGAAGTAGGCATAGAAATGATGAGTCGACGCCCAGACGATGGTATCTTGCGCAGGGCCCCTGTCAATCTACCTTATTTGGGCCAGAATGCCAATGCCCCTTTGAGGGGCATGGTTTCCTCGTCTGTGTCCCGGCTGGATCCAGCAGCATGGAGCTGCATCAACCATCTCGCCATCGAAGGGACATCCTGCCGTCTCTCGGTATCGTGAAGTACCAGTCCTCCACTACACACATGCACTCGCCCCGCAAGCCAAACCACCTGTGTCTCTGTCTACTCTGCATGTGTCAATCATGTGGCAGACGTCTCCCGGGGCTCTCCTTGCCAGCATCCCGTCTTCAGCGTTCGTGTCATGGCCGAGTCCTCATCTATCAACGGGCCCGCAAGATCCCAATACGTCTTCCTCCATGGGGACGGGGAGCAGGACCCATTCGCTGTATACGCAATGATCCAGAAGAGCAACGATCAGGCCAACATAGTATTGTACACCACGGAGCAGCCGCCCCCAGGCATTCTGCAGGACCCATGGCAGCTGGCGCGCCCAAGACTCTGGGCTCGCAAAACCGTGGCATTGGTGCGGCGCTTGATGACTGACGGCGTCATTAGCCTGGTGTTCGGCAGAAGCTTATGAGTTCCTTACACAGGTATGTGTTTGTGTGTCTGGGGAAGGAACCATAGACAATGTTGCGTGTGGTGGTGGTCTTCTGTCTTGCCTGTGGCTGCTGTGTTAGGATGGATGATTTCGGAGCAACCAAGGCATGCGAAAGACTGGAGCGATCCTGTCTGCTCTTACTTGGAGCAACTTGCGTCACCATGCAGTTTCCTAACGTTTCAATTCATGAGAGTGACGGGTATGCGTGTGTTGGCAGTATGCAAGAGGGTGGATTGATGTCTGTGTGTCTGGCGACATGAGTGTCACTTCCACCACGATTGGACACGAGAAAGCGAAATGGAAGCCGTTGCGTCTGCATGCAGCATTTAGTGCAATGCCAGCGAAAAGGAGAGATAATGCATATCGTTCACTTATTCAATACTGCCCACAATGTCATCCCAATCATCGTCCTCCTCTCCCAGTGTCGGCAGCGTCCCCTCACTGCCCAAAACACCGCTCCTCACCTCAATGTCCATACCACCATCACCACCACCATCACCGCCGCCATTTTCCTCATGTATCTTGTTCTCAATCGAGTGTCGTCGTACGACCTCCCACCCACTTTGCTCGCCCATCTGTGCGAAGGTCAAACCTTCAGCCTCCTCCACATTGTTACTGCTATTCTCGGCGGAGACATCGATAGCCTCAAGGGCACCCTCCCTGATGTCGCCCCACTCGCTGTCCTCCTCGCTCACCGCCGCGTCCACGCTGATCTTGCGGGGCTCGATGGTGAGTAGCTCGTGATCTTCCTCGGGTTGTGAGGGGATCTCCTCTTCGGGGAGCAGGCTGACAGCCTCCTTCGCGCCCTCTTCTATGTCGCCCCACTCGCTGTCCTCCTCGTGCTCACGGAATGGTGTCTCGTCGGCAGTTGCTGGAACGGAGGGCATGGTTTGTGGCTCTTCTGGTTCGGGGGGCGGTGCTTCTGCTGCTGCTGTTTCTGGTTGTGGCGGCTGTGTCTCCGCCTCTCTTTCCGCCTCCCCTATCGGCTGCACGACAGCTGCTGCTGGTTCCTCTGTGGGCTGCTGCGTCTCTGGCTGTGCCGCAGCCTCGACTTGCTCTTGTTCTTGCTCCTCTTCGTCCATCTGTGTGGGTTCCTCCTCGACAGTGGGCAGCTGGGGCGCCACCGACGCCATCAGCCGATGCCGAGCCGACCGACCCATGTCCACCTCCATCTCCATTCCCCTCTCGTGCTCTCTCTCTTCCTCCTCCCTCTCACGCAGCCACTGATCCATCATGTTCAGGGCCTCATCCACACGAATCGGCTGCAGCTGCTCTGGCGGTGCTGGTTGGACTTGTTCTTGCTTTGGCTGGGGCAGGCGTGAGGACGGTGGGGGCGTTTGGAGGTCCAGCTGCCGCTTGAGCACCGTCCTGGTGTTGGGAGGGAGGCCAGGGAGGCGAAAGCGGCCACCCTGTGCCTCGCGAAGAGCATGCCGCCACTTGCGGCTGCCGGGGGCGATGCCTGCATGTTCGTGAGTGAGACAGTATGCATGAATGTGTGAAGGGGGGTGTTTAGAGTGGTACTGGTTTGGGTTGGGTACCGATGATCATGAGATGGCTCTTGAGTTTGTCAGTGAGGCGCTCAGTGGCGCATTGCAGCAGATGGGGGACGTCCAGGGGCTGCATCAACCCCTGTGACGCCTCTGTACAAGCAGCACAACCAACATACAAATACACAAAAAGAGAAAAGCCCACTCTCTTCCCCACGCACCTTTCAGCTGCTCGCTGACCCTCTCCAACCTCAATTTCAGCAGCTGAATCTCCTCAGCCCCAAGTGTCCTCCCCCCTCTCCCGATCTCCCTTACGAAGGCTTTAAGGCGCGCCCGTCTCTGCACACCTTCAGGCCGTGAGTCTCTCGCCAGCGGTGAGTGGACGATGCGTGCATCAGTCGACTCGATGGAGGGCAGGGAGAGAGATGGCCGCATGCTGTATGTGGGCCTAGGTCTGTGTGAGTGTGTCAGGGAGGGGAGTGACTTGTGCAGCTTGTGGAAGCCGATGGAGGAGGGAGAGGGGAGGGGCGGGGGAGAGGGGGGTGGGGAGGGGAGGAGGGAAGTGGAGCCCTGCTCTGCATGCACATGGACATGGACATGGCGGGTGCTCATGTGTGTGTCTCACTCAGTGGCTCTCTCAGCCTCACTTGATCTTCGTCTGTCTCTCAGTTCTGGCCCCAGTGGCGTGAGCAGTCTCGGATCGATGGCCGATGACTCCAGCAACGACACATCAGCCGGCGACACCTTCAGCCCTACACACAGCCCCCAAGACACGCAAACAGACACAGACATACTTACGTTTCCGTCTCCCTTTGTGTGCCTCTGTGGCTCATATGTACGGTAGTCGAGTGTAGCAAGCCTGGTGGGCCCCTTGAATGGCGAGCGGCACACACGGCGGTCGACACGCGGCAGCACGGGGTCGTATGTCCCTGGCCCCGGTGTGCCCACGCCGCCCTGCTGCTGCTTCACCACTGTACCAGACATACACACCAAAAGAGTGTGTGTGTGTGGGTGGGCGGATGTGTGTGTGGGTCTGATGTACGTGCTTACGTTCTTTGGTGGTGTGCATGGTGTCGGTTTCGTATCTGACGACCGGCTTGGATGGGGACTTCTTGAGCATTGACCCGCACACATTGTAGTCGGGCCTGCAGATATCCCCACATGTCATGGGATAAATGCATACATGCAATGCAATGTGCGTCATACTAGCTACCCGAGCACCGCTGAGCTCCTTCTCGCCACCATCTCGGGGAAGAGCTCACCCCTCGCTGCACACGTGCAAATGTGCGACCGCATTATTTGCCCGTCTGGTTGCATATGGACATACGTACGTGCTCTCATCGTGGGCCCCGTCTTCTTGAGCAGCATCCCAGGTGCGTACAAATCATAGTCACCTAAACACACGCACACAACCAACCACGGAGAGGGAAAGATGGAGCACAATCGATTCTCGTGCATTCGTGCGCCCGTGTGTTTGTGTGTCCCTGTGTGTTGACATGACCGATTGTCACTCACCAGGTCCCGGCGAGGCCGCATATTTGTGCTTGGTGAGCAGAATGACGTTTGCCCGGTCGTCGGACATCATTGCGTCTGTCAACCGCTGAGGGCTGTGCTGTTGATGCAGTGTGCTACGTGTTTTCCTCGTTGCAGTGCTTTCTGCAATGGAAAACCACGAAACGCTGCGGAAGCCCGATCCAAGCTCGCAAGCTAAGCTTGCAGGCGCGGACTGAACGAAGCCGTGGCTGCATCGGATGCATGCCAGCCTCTTGCTCATCTTCGCCTTTTCCCGCTTGGCTGCATCTATCGTCATCCGCACGTCATCAGCTTTCCTTCCACCTCATCCGCCAGCTCTGACTCACACAAGGCGCAGCACAAGCAGCATGTCCGCATCAGACGACTCCACGCAGCAGCCCCCTCTCAAGACCGCCCGCCTCGCCATGGATCAGCAAGTGGCCACCAAGGAGCGTGCTCCTGACCAGCAACAGCAACAAACCATCGAAGAAGAGGACGAAAGCGACTCGATGGACGGGGATGACGACGACGAGCAGATGGAGGAGGGCGGGCAGCCAAGTGGCCGTCAGGGCGGGAAGCGGAGTCGCGGCAAGTTCCGGCGGCCGCGCAACCACGTGAACCCGTTCAGCCCGTTCCATCAGCGGCCGGTGGATCTGGAGGACCGGTGGCCCGAGAAGGTCTTTGAGAAGCCGTCGCTGCCGTTGCATGTCGACCTGGGCAGGTGGGTGGGCACGCAGATGGGGAGAGATCACGGGCATCCACATGTGCATGATGTGTGTGTGTGTGGTGGTTTGTTCGTCTGTGCAGTGCGTATGGTCACTTTTGTATGGCGATGGCTGAGAAGTATCCGTCGCACAACTACCTGGGGGTGGAGATCAGGACAAAGGTGGTCGAACACGCCATCAGCCAACGCGACAAAGCAGGTAGGTATTCACGCACACAAGACACAGCACACAACACACCGACAGACAGAAGCACATCTCTCCGTGCGTCTGTGCATTCATACGTTCATTCATGAACAGGTCAAAGGAACGCCCATTTCATCGGCTGCAACGTCAATGTGAACCTCGATCGCATCCTCACCGACATCGAGGCATTCTCGCCCCCCTCACCCCACCCCCTCCCGCCATCCATCGCCACACACCCCAAATGCACCACTAATGACAAGACCGCCGTCGAGCAGCCGGCAGCAGGAGCGAGGGGTGGTGTCGAGTGCGTGACCATTCAGTTCCCCGACCCCCACTTCAAGAAGAGGCACCACAAACGGCGAATGGTCAACCAGCAGCTGGTGAGAGAGATATATATAAGGACACAAGGGCATGCCGAAGAAACAGATGCTCTCACGGTCCCCTCCCTCTGTGCGTATAGGTGGACATCATCGGTCGCCATCTGGTGGTCGGGGGTCGCCTCATCCTGCAGTCGGACATATTCGAGGTGGCCGTAGAGATGCGGCAGCTCTTCGACGCCCACCCCGCATTCGTCGACACACATGCAGCAGACGACTGGCAGGGGCAGCCCGACCAGAACCCCCTGGGTGTGGCGACAGAGAGGGAGAAGGGCCGCATCGCCAACAACGAGCCGGTCTATCGGGCGGTGTTTTATCGGGTGCCGTATGATGAGCCTGGTCATGATGCCGCGACGGGAGGAGGGAGAGAGGCGGAAGGGGACAATTGGGGAGAGGGAGACTAGGGGGCTGTTGTCCTCGTGTTCTGGATAATGGTTGTGCTGCTGAACGGTGTGGTGTGTGTGGCCCGGGGTTTTTTCATGGCTTTTGGTGATGTCACGGGAGCGGAGTGCACTCGCTCAGCTCGTGTCGCGTCACCGAGTGGCAGGAAAGACACTCGGGCTACATCATTTCATGTGTCCATTGTGCATTGACGTGCTGGCGAACAGGGGCTACCTAAATCGGGAGGGACTTTCACTGATGAGGTTGAGTACGTCCATGCGTTGTCCTTTGATTGGGATCAAAACGTCAGAAAAGCAGAAGAGCAAAAGAGCAAGGGAAGCCAGGCAATCAATAAGCAGCGGAAAGTCAGGCGCCTCCTAAGGCGTTCGTAAAGCAAAAGCACACACTCAGCCACTGACTGTGTACACCCTCTTGTCTGGTCCCTCTCCCTCCCTCCCTCCCTCCCTCCCTCTGTGTCGAGTTAGTTCATCATGCGCCCGGCAGTGGCCGTGTGAGGTCCACGAAGAGGCGGGCCTTCCTGTCGAGGAAGTCCAGGTTGACATTGCAGAAGGGGCAGGTGTCCCGCTCAATCCGGATGCGCTTGTAGCAGGGGGCGCACACCTGACACACACAACACAACACCACTACACACGCATGGACGGACGCATTGCATAGTGTCATGAGGACGGACGGACCTTGTTGAGGCAGCACGGGTATTGTCTGATAGCCACGCCTCTGAACCCCCCGACGCAGATGGGGCCTGCACACAACACAGACAGATTCATGCATTGCAATGCATCCATCATGATGCGCTTACATGAGCCCCCCTCGGTGTTGTCGTTGCACTCTTCCTCTCTCGCCGCGGGCACACGCCGCTCCTTACGCACACACACGTCGGCCATCACACGGCGATGGCTGCGCGAAGGGGCCGCGGCTGCACTGCTGGCACCGTTGCGCTTCAGCTTCAGCATGAAGCCGATGCAGGCGATGGCCAGCCCGGTCCCGATGGCGATGGCGATGCCTTCGCCGGATAGCGATGCCGCCACCTCGCAGATGGTGAGGAGGAGGTTCAGCGTCACTCCCATGACGTAGATGATGGCGCAGAGCAGAGCCCCGATGATGCCGATGAGGGCGGATGGTCAAGAAGGCGCCGATGAGGGCGCCGAGGATGGTCAAGAAGGCGCCGATGAGGGCGCCGAGGATGGTCAAGAAGGCGCCGATGAGGGCGCCGAGGATGATCAAGAAGGTGCCGATGAGGGCGCAGAGCAGAGCCCCGATGATGCCGATAAGGCCGCCGAGGATGGTCAAGATGACGTCCATGATGGCTGATGGATGGATGGATGTCGCAGGATGGTGATCTGGCGTGCCTTCTCTCTCGTTTCTTGACGATGCGACAAGCGGAAATGTCGTTTCCTTTCTGCAAACTTCAGTTTTAGAGACCCCCGTAAATGCAGCTACTTTGCCCTCCCCCCTTGCAGTGGTCTGGGCACTGTGTGGGTATTTGATTCAAAGCAGTCTGTCTCTCCGAGCACCAACCAAGGGCAGGCCAGTCGAGATCAGTCGCCATACGTTCACAACACAGTCACTGACATCCACCAGGCATGCGCACACAAATATGCCCACGTACTGCGCCATATACACCTCTCTCTCCCCCCCTCTCTGAGTCAGTCCGCTGTCTCTCTATCTCTCTCACGCGCAAGCAAACAAGCAAAACCAGCACAACACAGAACACGCACACACACACCACGTGTAAGGTAAGAAGTACGCCTACGGAAAAACTTGACCGACCCCCACATCTCCACACACAGACACGTTTGTTTGCTGCAGCCGCCTATCTGTTCCAGATTGCGTAAAGTCTCTCATCTCTCTCACACCTGTCCTGTCTGGGGCATTATATGCATGCCGGGGGATCCACGCATCGCATGTCTGGTCTGGTCTGTCTGTCGGCCTGTCTGTTTACGCCGCAACGAGCACCTTCTTGCTGGCGGTCTCAACGATGTTCTCGGGCGTCATGCCCAACTCCTGCACACACACACACACACACGTGTGTGAGAGTGTGTGTGTGTGTGTGTGTGGACCTTCATGACGATGTCTCCCGGTGCTGAGAAGCCGAAGCGATCGACGCCGATGATCTTGCCAGACGGACCCACGTACTTGTACCTGCACACGCACGAGCGTACGCACAGCCGCACAAAGAAAGTGTGTATGCGTGTGTGTATTTTTTGCTGTGTCTGCAGTGAGTGCTACGCACCAGAGTCCGCTGACGCCCGCCTCGATGGCGATGCGGTTGGTGCATGACGACGGCAACACAGACTCCTGAGCGCACACACACAGATGGCATACACATACGACCGACCATCCACAAGCGTGTGCGTATTCTAAGTAGGTACGTCAGTACCTTGTAGTCCTCCGACTGTCTGTCGAATCGCTCCATGCAGGGCATCGAGACCACGCGCCAGCCGCCACCGAGTGTGTCTGCAGCCGCCGTGGCGTGCTGCACCTCGGACCCTGCGTGATACATGGCGAGATGGTTGACGTGTCTAGGGCTCTGGCGTGTGGTTTGGGGTGTACGTACCTGTTGCGATGATGATGCCCTCGAGGTCGCCGGTCTCCTGCTTGGCCACGTAGGCACCCTTCAGCACACCCTGATCGGATCGATGGACACACAGGCAAACAGACAGACGTGGTGTGTGTGTGTAAAATGGTCGGTCGGTCGCCCACACGTGTGTCCTTCTGTTATGTACCTGCCTCCTTGTGTTGACAGGGATCTCAGAGAGAGTGCGCACCTAGCCAGCAGACAGACCATATATATCAACACATTCACATGTGGATGTGTGTGTGCATGCAGAGTGGGCGTGGCGTGGCCACGTCGATAGATACGTTTTGTCTGGTGAGGATGAGCGCAGTGGGGCCCTCAAGACGGTCGATCGACGCAGCAAACGCACCTAAATGCCCCCACACATCCATCCATCCATCCAGCCACGTCTGTGTGTGTGGCCCCACGGCCAGCGTACCGGCGGTCTCTTCGGGGTCAGCCGGTCGGATCACATCGAGGTTGGGGATCACTCGCAGACCGCTCACAACCTCAACCGGCTGTATACCATTCACACACACACACACGAATATCATCAAGGGTCGCGGTGTGTGTCTTGCGTGTGCGCATGCGCACCTGGTGTGTGGGTCCGTCCTCGCCCACACCGATCGAGTCGTGCGTCCAGATGTATCCCACGGGCAGCTCAGCAAGGGCTGCCACCCGCACAGGCGCCCTCATATAGTCGGCAAACACCAGGAACGTCGCACCTACAACAGCGCAAAGCAAACAGACACACATGTGCTGTGCTGTGCGGCATGATTGCACGCGCATCAAACTCAATAGATCTGATGGGCTGACCAGATATCCTGAAGATGCCGTAGTATGCGAATCCGTTCATCATGCTGCCCATGGCGTGCTCGCGGATGCCGAAGTAGAGGTTGCGGCCGGCGTAGGTCTTGGGGGCCGTCTTGCCGAAGTCGCCGCCGTTGTTGATCAGATTCTTTGTCTACACACACAGACACCAAAACACACACAGAGGTGTGGAACGCGCTTGCGTATGCCTGTGTCTACGGGATGTTTGTCTATTTGCTTACCGATCCGTGCAGATCGGCCGATCCGCTGACGTAGAGCGGCACGGCATCGGCGAGAGGCTGGAGGACGACGTTGCCGGCGATCCGTGTGGCGATGTTCTTGGTCTGATCGAACTCGGGGATCTTGGCCAATATCTCATCAGCACTGCATAGACATCAACACACACACACACTTGTTGGGGGTGCATGGTGGGGAGTGAGTATGGGAGTGCAGACGTACGTGCCCCATTTCTTGTTGACGGCATTCTCGAGGAGGGTCGCCTGCTCGGGGTTGGCGGCCTTCCACTCGCTGCATTCATAAATGTCGCATTTCGCGGATGGACAGATGATGGACAAACGTGTTTCTTTCATGTGTGGGTACCCGTAGGTTGTCTGCCACTCGCTGTACTTGGCCTTGAGCTCCTCCTTGCGCTTGGCGAACATCGCCTGCACACACACACACACACACACACGAGATCATGCATGTGTGTCGCATCTGTGGGTCAGGCTAGGTCAGTTACCTTGGTGTCTTCCGAGACGTAGAAGAGTTCGTCGGGCAGTCCGAGTGCCTTTCGCGCCTCGGTCGTGTACTGGACGCCCGCCTCCCCGTGAGCTGAACAAACACATGCCCATACCATACATCGGTGTGGGAGTGTCGTGTGAACCCGTGGGTGTGTGTCTAGTCTACAGGACTCACCAGCCTGTGTGCCGGCAACCTCAGGAATGCCCTTGCCGATGACCGTCTTGCACTGCAGCAGGCAAACAGACACACACAGACGTGTGTGTGCCCGCATGTGTGTGTGCGTCTGTGTGTGTGCGTACGATGATGAGTTTGGGTTTGCCATTGTCGTTGGCTTTGGCATCGCCGATGGCCTTGTCGATCGCCACCATATCGTGACCTGCGTTCGTTTTGTTGTCGAGGTATTCAGACAGACAGACAGACAGCAATAAACCAATGGGTCCATTCACTCACTGCACACGTGCAGGCCTGCGTGTGCGTACCGTCTGTGAGCGTGACGACGTCCCATCCGAGACTCTCAAACCTCTTGCCCACCTGCATATACGAAAATTAAACGTCCCACAAATGAAATGCGGGCACAGTCATACTTGACGTGTGTTGTGTTGTGTTGTGTGTCCATACATACGTCTTCACTCTGGGTGTAGTCGGCCATCTTGTCAAGCGTCACATCTACACACACACACACACACACACGGCACGGACGAGTCAGGAATGGCGTGCGTGCGAACGATGGTGTGATGTACCGTTTGCGTCGTACAGGACGATGAGGTTGTCGAACCCCTCGTGTCCTGCCATGGCGGCGGCCTCGTGCGCCACGCCCTCCTGCATGCAGCCGTCGCCGCACAGACAGATGATGTGGTGGTCGAAGATCTTGTGCGCATCAGTGTTGAAACGCGCTGCGGCCATCCTACGCGTAGGCACACGCACACAGAGAGAGAATAAAGGAACCTGTCGACCCATGGGCGTGTGGTGTGATACTTTGCGGCAGCGGCCATTCCGACGCTGTTGGCGACGCCCTGGCCGAGCGGGCCCGTGGTGCTCTCAACGCCTGCATCAATACGTACGTGGATTCACACATTCATGACTCCCGGAGTGAGAGGTGGCGTGGTGCTGTGGACGATACGATACCTACCAGGTGTGTTGTGCTCGGAGGAGGGGAACTCGGGGTGGCCGGGCGTCATGCCTGCTCACATACATACATCACACATAGCACATCAGTCCCTACTTCCACATGCGAATGCCCTTGTGTGTTCGATTCGAGCTGCGTGTGTGTGTCAGCTCGCTCAGCTCACTGTGGAATTGCCTGAAGTTCTTGATCTCTTCAATCGGCAGGTCATATCCACTGATGTGCAGCCTACACACGACACAACATAACGCAACACACGCGTGTGTGTCTGTACTCGTCTGTCTTATCCATCCATCTCTGTCTTTCCATCGGTTCCCTCCAGCCGTTCCCTCTCTCTCCCGCTTAGCTTACCATGCATAAAGAAACATCGACCCGTGGCCAGCCGAAAGCACAAAGCTGCACACCACCCCACACCACACCGCCACCCCCACACAGAGATACATACAGGTGGGTGCGTATGCTGCGCAACACCGCACCGGTCTCTGTTGATCCACTGCGGGTCCTCTGGGTTGTACTGCATCTGAGAGCCCCACAACACGGCACCTAATCAGATACACACACACACGCGCAGAGTCTCAATGGAATGGATCTTCAACTATCCATCCCTCCAGGTCTGTGTATCCTATCATCCCATCTTCTCTCTCTGCTTCCTTACCGATCTCGGCTGCTCCAAGGGGCAGACCAAGATGGCCTACATACACACACACACGTCGCATATGAATACACACACATACATTTATCTACTCAAAAACGTTTGACTGACAGACCATGCACACCACACCGCATCCTACCCGATTTCGCTGCTGTGATGGCATCCATGGACAAGCCCCTCGACTCATCGGCTGCCTTCGCGAGAGCCTCGGTGTCGAGCATCGACCATGCAGCCGTCGTTGCCCTTGCCGGACGGCTCGACAGCAGGTGTGTGCGACCATTGCGGAGCAGTGAAGGGGCCAACGGCGATGTTACGAAAGCTGCAGCCAGTCATTGAATCAGACACAGAGAGTGAAAGATGCAGAAGCGAGCACATCTGTCTGACTGACTGTCTGTGTGCTCCTGCAGGTGAATCAACAGATCTACAGATCCGGCTGACTGACCTGGTCGGTCCCTGGTGGTCAGCGCATGAATGCTGCCGATGGCGAGCAGCGCAAACACCACCACTGTGAGCTTCATTTGGCGAACGAAACTGTTTGAGAAAGGGGGACGGCTGCTGTTGGCGTCTGCGAGCTTAGACCAGTAGGCTGTAAACTTCCGCGCGAGTCTCTAATGATATGTCATATGAGACAACGCGGCACTCGTGTGCTTGCACATGTACATGTGACTCAATGAGAGTCACTCATTCGATGATCAAACGGCCTCGCATGCACATATGATATGATACAGATGTATACGTGTGGCTTGACACACAGACGCAGACACACGGATCACGTGTGCGAGTACACCTCGACCAGCAGTCTGATCCACACCAGAGCAGCACCCGCCAAATGATGCCTCCGCAATGCCTTCAACCCGCCAGGCACAACCAAATAAGCCCGACCACTGAATGAACCATCAAACACACATATGCATTCACACATGGATGGATCTACAGCCTGATGCAGTGAGTGACTCAATCAATAGTGCCGTGACTCACTAAGGGTCGTCAGCGGCACAGGCGCGTGCCTGCCTTTCGCTGCACGCCTCGCACTGGGGGTAGAAACGCTGCCTCAGCCGCCGCCCACTCAGCCACTGCCACGGCGACGCACGACGTACCACAAACGACCGACCTGCAATGAGTGGCGAACAAAGTCAAAGTCACCCAAAGTCAAACATCAAACACGTCTGTCTGTCTGTCACCACAGTGTCCTCACGTCGTTTGGGCACTTTGGTTGGTGGTTCTGGTTCTGCCTCCGGCTCGCTGGGCATCGGTGGCGCAGACGGCTCGGGGAAGGTGCGGGGAGGGAGGGGCGTCGCCATGGGGGTTGTCGATGGCCGCACAGCCGCCGTCCGCAGCCGACGGTCCGCCGGGCTCTCACCCATACTCCGTATCCTCTGCCGTACGACGCTCCTAGGCGGCTGGTGGTCGGCGTTGAAAGGGCCTCTCCTGGTGCCGCATGTGTGGCAGCCGTAGATCCTCCCTAACCGCTGAATGACGCTCCGCTCGCGAGGCGACGCGTACTCCATTGTCGCGGGCAGTGAGCCGAGGCCGCCAGGCTGCGCATACACACCTGGGGAGAGCAGGGAACTCGGACAGAGAGACTGCAGCCTGACAGACACGCAGGCAGGTGGGTGACACAGACACAGACACATGCAGCACCTGCACAGCACACGGACCTGCCTCCCATCAGGAGAAAGAGGCTGAGTCCGATCATCACGTCGCGCCGCACAAATGTCCATTGCGTGTTGCACAGCACGTGCAAGAGAGGCTGACGGGAGGCCATGAGAGACTGCACCATCTGAGCGGAGAGCGATGCGCTCGCGGCGGCGGCTGCCGCGGTGAGGAGGCCTGCCAGCGAAGCGATCAGCGGCAGGCGCGTTGATACGTTGATGGATCTTTGCAGGTGCTGCGAGGCGGTGACAGTGAGGCAGAAAGAGGCGCCTGCTGAACAGACTTGAAGAGCTGACAACGCTGCACATAGAGCGACAGAGAGGCAATTAAGCTGTGTGTGTCGTGTGTGTGTGTGTATGTGAATGCATCCATACCTGCAGCCGCAGATGACGGCTGGCGTCCGAACAGGCCCAACACCACCTTTGCCGCACTCCCTGCCTGTGTACCGCCGGGCAGACACGCAAGCTTAGTGCCCCTGCTGCTGCGGGAGACTGTAGGCGCTGCAGCTGACGGCATTTTTGACGCGTGGATAAAGGACGTCAACATTGCCGCAGCAAGCACAACACAGGCACCGCTCCGCAGCTGCTGCGTTGATGAATAGAGCGGGCTCATCTGGTACTGCTATTGGTCCTCAGGTGGATCTGCTTGTTCGGTGGGGATCTCCACACAAATCATGCCTCCTCACGGTGGATGGAAAGAAGGGGGGGAGGAGGAAGGATCTTTGGAGGAAGGCGAGCAGTTTCACGGAGTTGCGAGCTTGACCTGGAGGATCTCTGTCAGTTTCGACATCAATCCTCAAGTGGAGGTAAGGCACAGCTGCCACACTCGATGCATGAACGGGAGAAGAAAGAAGGGATGCACACAGCACAGCACATTATGCAACATTTGTTCTTGCCCTTGATCTGTGGCATCACTCACCAAGATGAGACACACAACATCCCCTGCCTTCCTCTCTGCTGTGTTGCCAACTCACAGGTGTGAGCATTCGCTTTGCGAGTCGAGTGCGGGTCGGTGAGCGAGTCGGTTGTGGGTCAGTCATGTTGGGTCCCGGCGGCCGCGGCAGAGCCGCCGTCCTCCCGGCATGGATGAAGAAACAGCAGGAGGCCGCAGGCGGCGGCAGTGGCGGTGGCGCTGCTCCCGCTGCCGCCCCGATGCCCACCATGCCATCTCCCATCCAGCCTCCCGAGGAGCCGCCACAGGCAGTGCCCTTCCACCCCACCATCCCAGGAATGTCCGCCATATCCTTCACCGCCAAACCACCGGTGCCGACGAATGCAATGCCGCAACAGGACGGCCGACAGGGCGGGCAGGGCGGTGGCGGGATGCCTCCAGGGGTGATCATGAAGCCGCCTGTAATGAGCGGTGCGAGCGGTGGGAGCGGTGGCCGTGAGCAGCGTGGGGGTGCGAATGGTGTGGTGGTTGAGGAGAGGGATGAGAAGCGGCGAGGGGGGAGGGAGAGGGGCGAGGACGACAGGCGGGACCGCAACAGAGATAGAGATCGGTGGGGCGGAAGGGAGGGAAGGACACATCACATGCGGTCTGCCTGCCTTGTGTGTATCACATCACATGTGCCTGCCATGGTGTCTGCCTTGTGTGTGTGCATGGATCTGATCAGCGACCGTGACCGTGACCGTCGTCGTGATCGTGACGACAGAAGCCGTTCCCGGGACAAAAACAAAGGCGACAGAGACCGGGGACGGTACGTCCGTCACGTCCATCATGCATAGCATCCCATTCATCCATCCATGCCATGGATGGATGATACATACACTCCTGCTCTGTTGTCTTCTCAATGAGAGAATGAGAGAATGTGTGTGTCTGTGTGATGTACAGTCGTGACAGGGACAAGGACAGGGGCGAGAGAGACCGCGACCGCGACCGAGGTGAGGCATCGCATTCTCCATGGACAGACACAGCGGAGCATACACACGGCCTCTTTCTTCTCGTTTTATTCCTCTGGTTCATTCAGATCGTGACAGGGACAGAGGGCGGTACGTAACCTAACAGACAGCCAACAAACCACCACAGCGTCCTCGCCTGCCCTCTGTGTGTGTGTGTGTGTGTGTGTGCCATCCCCACAGGCGGGATAAGGACAGGGATCGCTATCGTGAAAACTCCGAGGAGCGATACCGCGACAGACGAAGGGTACGCAGCCACCCATGCCGACAGACGATGGATGTGCAAGCGGCATTGTGATGTTGGCTGGCTGGCTGGTGTGTGCTGTGTGTGGCGCATAGGAGCGTGAGGAGGACGACCACGATCCCTACGAGGGCCGCCGGCGAAAATACACACCAAAGGACGAAGACGACGACAGAGAACGGAGGCGGGATAGGTGAGTATGCAATGGCTTAGCCTAGGCTCATGTGTGCCATCAGCCAGCCGTGTGCTACTCTGTGTGTGTGGGGGTTTTCAGGGACGATGACGACAGAGATCGCAAAAGGTGACAACCGGCACACACACTGGCGGTTGTGGATGGAAGAGAGAGGCATGTCTGCTGCATCTTGGCTCCGATGCCTGCAGGTATCGTGGCGACGACCGCGACCGAGACGACGACAGGGACAGGCGCCGAAAGCGAGACCGAGATGACCGTGATCGTGATGACGGCCGGGCCGACCGCAGAGGGCGATACAATGACACCAAAGGTAGGTAGGTACATGCATTGCATACTCCACACACCACATCCACTCACCCTACACGTATCCGTCAGATGAGGACGACCGAAAGGCACGCAACAACGGCAGCGCGCGAGAGCGGCCAGCTGCTGCGGCTGACGAGGGGGCGCCCGCCCCCGACACGAACACCAGTGCTGCGGTGCTCGTCGACAGGTGAGGGAGGGGGGGAGGGGGGAAGACGTGCAGTGAGAATAAGTCAGCGTGGGTTGATCATGTTGACTGTCTGTGCATCATGCATGGGTCAGGTTGAACGAGCTGCGCAACATGCCTCGGGGCGAGAGAGAAAAAGATGACCGACTCAAGTTCGTCCTATCGGTGAGCGCGGCAGCCACCCACCTATCCCTCACTGCCTGCCCGCTTGACTGACTGACGTGTGCGCATGGCATGGCGTGTGTGTCGATGTGCCGGACAGGAGTCGCTGTCTGGCACACGCAAGGACGGCAAGGAGCTCTCATTCGACAGCTACAGAGAGCGGTAGGCAGGAACCCGCTCCCAGCATACGGCTGTGGTGTGTGGTCCATCCATCCATCCATCCATCCACCCATCTGTCTGTCTGTCTTTCTATTTCTGTGTCAGGTATTTCTTGGACGGCCCCGACCGCATTGAGACCAAGAAGCGCCTCTATATGGAAGACACGCCGGTACGTACAAAGCCAAGACAGAGATAAATGTGATGCAGTATACCAGTGAGGCGGTGCCATGCCTATCTGGTGTGTGGTTTGTTGTGTGTCGTGTGTGTGTGTGTGTTGGTCGCATCGATCAGAGTCACACTTTCTGCCTCGATGTGGAGAAGCAGACCGACGAGGGGCGAACGGTGCGGTGTGGCATACATGACACGCCACGGACGCCTTCAACCATCTTATGCTGCACGTGTCTGCTGTCCTGCCCTGCCCTGCCCTGTGTGTGTCTGTGTGTGGGTGTAGGAGGGGCGTGTGATCCTGTACGAGGCCGACAAGGGTCAGATCGTCCGCATCGACATCTATCCTGGTTGGTGCACATGGACACACGGACACAACACACACACCATATCACATCACACACATCCCACTCGTTGCATCACGATGTCATCAGACAAGGAGCGTCTGTACGAGGCCAAGATCGACTCCGTGGCCCACCTCAAGGAAAACGACTCGGTCAGAAGCGCAATCAAAGACGCCAAGCGAGCCGGTCAGTGAGGGGGGCGAAAGGGGGGGGGGGGGGGGG